CATCGCCTTTTCTCAAATAAACATTTGACCGAAAATAAATAAAAGGTAATAGTCGAACAAAGCTTAAAACCAACAACAAAAATTGGAGCACTTACCGATAATAAAGATACTAAATAATTTCTTAAAAAGTCTTTTAAACGTTTATATAATTCTAGACCGACAAGCTGTGCGCCTCCGTTCACTTGATTCTTTTTACTTTTGGTAGAGCTGCTATTTGCGTTCCGTCCATTCGATTGTTGATGTACCGACGTACAGTAATTATAAACGTGAGTGTATAGTTGCATGTATCGAGGTTTCGCCATCATCTGACGATTATAAACATGTTCGATTCCAGAGTTTAGGTCGCCCCAAATTTGATCCAAATCTATCTGTTTGAGACCCTGCGAACTATTAGTGCTGCTTCCTATGGAGCCCGCTAAATTTTTCTGCGACATTTTTTCTTCTCTGGAAGTGCTACCAATACTGAAAGAACATAAACATTAGCAAGTCATATGGGGCTATAAAAGACAAACAAAAGTTAGGTAGAAGAAGCACTAAGCTTTATGTTTGAAGGCAAATAAATAATTATGATGCTGTTGTGCCTTCCAATGAGCCGTTAAATGCAATATGTTCTATGAATATTTGGAATACAACAAAGTAAGACATTTTTTTTTGTTTTGCACAATTATACATAGGTACATAAATAATGCGTGTAAAAAATGTATATTTACTTACTGGACTAACTAAACATAACCAAAATTTGGAAATTGTATGTGGAATTTCAGTACGTTTGGACTTTAAATTTTCTTTCTTTTTTATAAAATTTTCTTTACTAAATTTATACGACGGTGACAGTTTCTCTTTGTGGTCCACCCAGTAGGACCAACCTGACCATTTCTAATTTACCCACAAATGAAAGTGGCTATGGTACACCGTAGATGACATGGATATGGCTAAAGTCACATTAAAAGACCGCGAAATTTGCCCTGTTTTATTCAAAATAGTGCGCCAAATTTAAAATCAAGCCAGTTGTGTTCATTTTATTTTACTGTTAAATATCAAAACTAGGATAGCTGGTATCATTCTGGTATCCAAGGCTGGTACAATAAATAAAATAAAACATACAGTATGTCCCGCGAAGAACTGACTCGAATATTTTGTGTGAAAATTCCAGATCCATTATTTTTAGGACGTGTGTAAATAACGCCTAGTTTTTACAGGGCAAAGTTTTCATTTTCAGTTTTTTCCACAAGACAACACAAATAAAGTTTATAGGTACAATAATTAACAAAAGTACTTATATTATAACTAATAATAACGGTACCATTCCAGTATCTCGGTTCCCGTCATCATAATTTCATGAATAAGGATTATGATTCAAAGTGTTTATAAATGTAATCGGTTTCGCTTCCGGTACCCGTTGTTTTCGATTCCAACCCGTGTTTCCAACAAATCGTTATAATGTTTCTTACTAAAACCATATATGACACTTCGGCCCGTTCCTCCCTGTGCAATATAACGATAAATATAAATGAGTTTTCGAAAGTTTACTAAACCATTCGGTTGGGATGTGAAAGATTAGTCATGATTTTTATGATGCTTAAACGTTATATTCATTAATGTTTTGTTGTTTATCTTTAGGAATGTGATTTCTTTTCTCTTGTATTAAATACCTTGGCTCGTTCTTGTTAAAAATCTCAGCATCAATGAAATATTGGGAATAAAAAATAATATTTATTTTTTTATTAACGAAACGGTAGGGCGGAACGCAACAAATGATCGTGGTGTACGCCTCGACACCGCGATACCTATTGCAAAAAAATTCCAGGTCGCAGAAGTGAGTTTGGACGGACGGTCAAACAGACAGACGGACGGACGGACAAAACGCAAACCATGCACATTTTTTATACTTAAAAATGCGCTGAAAATAAAAGAGTGCATATTTGTATTGGTGAGACACCCTGTAGGTATATGAGAATATTTCAATTTATTAAGTGTAAATCTGAGGGATTATCTATAGGAATAAGCACAAAGTTGATGTATTGTATTTGAATTTGTGTCACGGTGTTGTTTTTCCTTTTGGATTTGTTTGTAATTGAGTACTTCAGTCAGCGCGACTTGTAATCTACCAGTAAAAGAGGAGAGAATGTAACGGTGTGTAAGTCTCTGTCATATCAGCTCCTTTGCGCTGGGCGTCGATTCCCGAAGATATGATTTGTTCACATCGACTGACCTTGATGTGAACGTGAATGTCACTGCATTCTCGAACCTACCACATCGAGCGAAAAGTTGATCGAACGCAACGACTGGTCTAGACCTCAGAGTAAGAAATAAAGATAGAGATGCCTTGATGCTTATCTATGCGTGCCATCATCTCGTTTGTTTACTAACATTGCAGGAGGCTAAGTTGTCACATTTCACGAGATAGTTTTCAAGGGAATAATAATAACATATGCATCTGGAGTAATCTAAATGGATTTTTAGATGCTTATAAGAGTTCAGTAACCCAAACAATTTTAACTTACAATTAAACGGCGTAACAAGAAAAGTTATGGTGATTAGTGCACCACATCGGCAACGCTGTAACTTTGTTTTCCGTTGAGAGGTATTTTGTTTATTTCGTTAAAACGTGATTCCTTAATTTTTAGGCGTTTTTATAGTGGAGGACTTATTCGATTGTGGTGTATTAATTTATGGGAGCCCTTTGAAATGGGGAAAAAGCTGTATTTAAAGTCACTAAATATAGATATATATATATATATACTATATCTAGTGACTTTAGCTGTATTATTTGTGGAATTATTGAATTACCTAACATAACCTTTTATCCGTATGTGTTTTGAAGTCATAGACGTGTATACGGGAATTTTCGCATTTTAATGTATTTAGATTTCCTTCTAAGTTTCCACTTTGAAGTATCACCATACCAAGGTCAATAGGGACCTTTCAAACACATACAGCTTTTGGTCATAAATATTTAGTGATACGTTATTACGTTTGCACATGTAAACAAAACATAAACTTTGTTGCCCATAAAAATAAATAAACCTTACGCCACTGACTAATGTTTACTTTCTACCTCTCAACGGTCAAATTGACTGAGATGTTGGTTCAAAACAAACGTTCACGTTGTTATAGCGTACGCGTACTCTATCTTTATTTCTTACTCTGAGGTCTAGACCACTCGTTGCGTGAAAGTCATGCGCAGTTGCAGCTACAGGACGGATCTTGCAGCTGTTTTGCTATAGAGGTTATTCAGTGCCCTAACCTATAAATTCACATATTTTCTGTGAAATAAAACATGGAATTGTTCGAGGATTTTCTGGTTATTAATAGCAGTATCCATAATGCAAAAACAAAACAAAATACAAAACTGACAAATGACAGTTCAATTCTTGTCTGTGATTGGTTAGCGCATAAAGTTTGTCCACGATTCGTATACGATCATGACGTCATGGCAGCCGGTCACATCACGGAGCGGAGCATATCGACTAACTTCGGGAATCGATGCCCGGTCAGTTATGTTGACTTGACTTATGATAAAATATAGGTATAGACGAGACGATGCCAGTTTATTTTATTTCCCCAATGCCAATGGTGGCGCGGTTCCCCCCACTCTTCTAACCTCCGTTTTGTCCATTTCCGTCGCCTACCCTTTTAATGTAAGTTTCTCTGCAGTTAATTTTTACTTGTACAGTCAAGCCAAGCAAACAAGTCCGTCAAGAAGGCGATGGTTTGGTGCTTAGACCATATATAGTACATGGACTGCTATTCGCCCTATGCTTTCAATACAAAATGGATGGTCACGGATAGAGGGCACTGTAGTCGTGGGTATGTGAATCTCAGGGTAAACTAAAGTCGTGTAAACACCAATAGGATCGCTTAAAGAGCAGCTTTATAGTAACCGCCTAGTACGGGAAGCTTTAAATGCTCTTCATTATTTGCTATACGTCCACAAATAAGAATAAGTTTGCTTTTTTTGGGATATCTAGGCGATTAATTAATTGACGTTTGTTAATTTATAGGTTGACAGTCTCAAATCGTGTCTCATCGGACAACTTCGGACAGACTCGTTTACCCTGAAACTCACATACCCAGGCGATGTCCTTGACCATATTTTAGTTACAATTAGCAGTCCATGTACTATATGGTCTAAGGTTTGGTGTCGCTGTATTTTAGAAGTACAGTCTGTGTCAATAGTGTTTGGCGGGAAATTTAAACTTGTTCTATTTTGTCATTTTTTTAATGCAGCTACGTTTGAAAACTGGAGAAAGAAATTTAGTACAATAATTACAACCCAAAATAACAAAATTTGCCTAAGTACTACTAATGACAAAGCAGTGTGTCATCCGTCACTTTCCTCTTCACTGATTTTAGAACCTTCGCCTGACGTGCCAGTGATTACCGTGAAAGATAAACTTTCTACAGCTTCATCTTAACAATCCATGGCGTTGCCACATTTATTCTTCCAATCTCTTAATGTGGATTATGTCGTATCCAGACTTATACTTTTCGAATTGATGATGAGATGCGCATTTTCAATTCATTCCAATTGATTTCATCCTGCTTCAGTCAGTTTTATATACACCAGGTTAATCTTTTGTTAGCAAGCACCCCATAAAATGGATGGATGTAGGTTTCGTCAAAAAATGTGACCTTACTTTCAATGCAGCCAATCTTCTTCTTCATTTTATTAACTAAATTATTGATTGTAGAGACTTTGTTATGGATCATGTAAATTTCATTCTTCAAGACGCGTAAATCAGCTTGTAATTACAAACGGCATTGACTAAACCCATCCAAAGTTTTTGCATTGTGCATATTCAAGTTTGCCATCTTTCAGGCATATGCATATTACATAGACAAATCTAACATGTCTGCTCTCGTTTACCTAGACCTATTGTTTATTCACAAACAAGCCAGAACGATTTACTTGCGTAAAGAAACTGCAGTTTGCGGCATATTTAATGGACGTGTATACGGGCCTTTAGTTGTTTTGGGACTAGCAGTTATTTTGATGTCTTTTTGTAATGTTGGTATTACTCATGTTGCTAATGAATGTTTCTATGAACTCATTAAAAAATAAATAGTCCAATTTAATTGGTCGTAATTGAGATCCGTAATCAAGCCCGGATTTAGTTTAGCTTATGAATTAACGGTAAATAAATACTGCCAATGAATTGATTTAATTTTTGTATTTTGTCTTGATTTAATCAGCGTTTCGCGATTTTTGTAGGTTTTCTATTTCCATATTGTTAAAATGTGTTGTAATAGGACTAATTTATTTTTTTTATCATTTTTCGCTTGCTTAACACATGTTGCCCTACTTTTGTATAATGGGGAAACATAAAGTGCGCTCGTTTTTCTAGGACTAAACAATTTATCGACTATGGATGGAAAGGGACCTGATGTTACGTTTATATTTCAATTTGGTTTAATAAGGGATACAATAACGGCTCCACAATATACAATAAACCTTAAGTCTTTGAAAGACCTTGCCTGTGATTTTATTAATAATAAGGTGAAGTTATTTATGCGTCATCCTTGATGATAACGTAATCTTTGTAGATTCCGGATCATGGCGTTAACAATTTAGCGGATCGTCTATTGTTATTTAAACACGAATACAACTCATCGAATATTTTAGAAGTTATTAATTCTGCCTCTGATGTTACGGATGAAACGATTGTTGAAATTATTCTTTCTGGAAAGTGTAAGTTTCCCAGTGCAATTTTATTATGCAAAACAAATGAAAATGATAATTTGAATGAGTTATTTAAAATCATGACTGTGTGGCAAATAGTCATTAGTACAGGGTGTCCCATTTTTGACTATTCTATATCTCCATTATTATTTTTGCTACCAAAAATTGAAAATATTCATTCGCTTAAGAGATTACGAGGAAAAATATAAAAATTGTCAATTTCAGAATGGATCTGTAAAAAGTGATACAGAAATATATTTACAAGGTACATTTTCTTTATAATGAATGTTGCAGCTAAAAAATGTATTGGACCGAATTTCATTTTTACCACCCACAAGCTAGTAAGGGAGGTATTGCATTGGGGTAAAAAATGGCCCCCTACTTTTTTGACAGAAATACACATTTTGCAGCATCAGGAATACGAATCAAACAAAATCTCGATGATGTCGGCCTGTTGATCCGTCTGTACTCTCATTTCTGGGGGTGATACCTGTGCTTGAATGACGAATTCTGTTTGTTAGAAGTTTTGGTTACGAACTAAACTGTCGAATTGTCATGAGCTGTCAGTTTCAAAAAGCCAAACGTGAAATTGTTTATATTTATATTTTTCAAATTTTGTGCTGTTTTATATTTTTCCTGTGTGTACCTCTCTTCAAACACAGCCATCTACTACCTTCTTATAATGAGTGCAGGGGCGCCCGCAGGATTTTGACCCAGGGGGGGGGGGGCAGGCAAAGTCAGTTTTTCATAATTTTATACTTTACATATAGGTAGGTAGGTACCATAGGAATTGAAAAATAAAACAAACAATTTTCAAGAAAATCTAACTGTTTGTTAGTCTGCTGCACATAATCACACATTTTTATTTTAACAGGAACTGAACGCGTCTTGAGTCAAGGGCAAATCTGTCAACAACTTTTTCAATGAAATTGTCCTTGTCTTCTTTAATTTGGCTTCTGTGGACAGAGAGAAGACACAGTCCACTCAGGCGACTATTTGACATCATGCTTCTTATCCATGTCTTTACTCGTCTGAGAGTGCTGTGAATCAAAAATGTTAAGATTAGTTACTTCCCATAGTCAGACTAGGATGTTCTTTAACAGTCATCCAGCTACGATCGTCAAATTATTTTGCACAATAATTAATTACCGCTGCACTGCAGTTGTTAATAGGTTGTGTGTCATTTTCTTCAAATGATATGTTTAACATATTTTTCACTCAAAATCTCAGAGGGGGCAACTGCCCCTACTTGCACCCCCCTGCGGGCGCCCATGAATGAATGCAGTATAATACACAAAGATTCAATAGATCCCAAAAAAAAGACTCAAAAGGATTAAAAAAAATTATAAAAATTAAAACAAGGTTTAGGTAAATGATTAAAAAAATACACAAAAATTTCAAAAAGATTATTGAATTTTTCTAAAATCTTTTTGAATCGATTAATCAGAAAAATCGCAAAAAACGGAAAAAGAAGACTAATAGTAAAAAACGGTGGGAAGCAAAATAGGATAACCGCATATCAAGGTAGGATTAGGTATAATTCGAAAATAGGCGGAAAAATATAATTAATTAAGCGGAGTTAACAAACAAGAATATATTACTCAATATACAAAACAATACTAGGGTATAAAAATGGTGAAATGAAAATGAAATAATGTAAAAATTAAAAAAGAAACAAGTACTTCATGCAAATAAAGGATGGAACTAAATCTGAGAAATAAGAATGGAAAGAGGAAAAACGCTAAATAGAATGAAAATCCTAGCCAGAGACAGGAAAGAATGGAGGAATTGGATACAGGACAAAGAGACCCCCATTCGACACCTCAAAGGATTAGAGATTAGTAGAAATTGATCAATTTCTTGTTCAAGTCGCTTTAAAAGAAAACTTGACGAGTGTAAATACAGAATTGGATGCAATAACTTGATCAATTTCTTGTCGGACTAGTGCAATTTTTACGTCAATTCAGTAGTACCAACTACCATCAACCAACATAAATAATTAAATCAAAATGTTTTCATCATTTTTATGAGCTATAATTATAGCTTTCTTTTTCTATTCCGTAATCTTCTATTTAAGACAGAGGGAAACATTTTTGCACTTTCCACTTGTTGTTCTACACAATTAAAAAAAATGACAAGGTAACCTTAAAATAATTAAAGGTGAAATTGTTCAATGACTTTCTTCTTTTAAATATACCGGGTGGTGCCTAGCGCGACGCAGCATAGGGATTTCAATGGTAATTTCTTTATAGTCAATTACTAGCTTCCCTAATTATTTTAGAGCAAAAGTTTAAATACGTTTTTTTTAGAGAAAAAAAGACTGCATCTGTTCATACTATTACTGATAATTTTCCGTTTTTCAAAACCGTAGAAATCGACAAAATAAAAAGGTTCATTTTACAATAAATCAAATATGCCTTGGAATTACCTAAAAAAACAGCGATCACGTTTCATTATTTGTCTTTGACGTATATTAAATTTATACTTGTTTATAAATTAGTTAAAGAACTGCAAGTGCAATAACGTTCAAAATGTCCGTCAAAACCATCAGGAAAACGACAATACATTCAACGTTTTGGTTGCAGTAGCGGAAAATCCGAATATAAGTTTAGGAACAAATCTTCTTCAAATCAGTTTTTTTTCTTCGATTATGTAGGTACTCTGATTCCGAAAAATGATAAACAAATAGTATCTGATGCAGATGCAGCATACATTCTCTAAAAAAAACATTACCCTAAGATGCCTTTTACTGCGTTGGTTAGTTGAAACAGAATTAAATATGAAAATCGTTCGACGTCAAACAACGATAAGTTAGATGCGATGCACTTGTAGTTTGTTAAAAGATTCCAAAGCATCACTGATTTATAAAAATGTAATTTTTTATTTTGTCGATTTCTACGGTTTTGAAAAAGGGAAAATTATAACTAAAAGTATGAACAGATGCAGTATTTTTTTTTTCTAAAAAAAACGTATTTAGACTTTTGCTCTAAAATAATTAGGGGAGCTAGTAATTGACTATAAAGAAATTACCATTGAAATCCCTATGCTGCGTTGCGCTAGGCACCACCTCGTATAATTTAAACTACATTCACACGTGGAGAAATTTTGTCATTTTTGTCCATCTGTCGTCTTCTTCTAAGATTTCATTTATTTTCTTTTCATGTAGTCTCATCCAACTCAAGTTATCGAAATAGTATACCTTTTTTTTAATTTTGTTATTTTCAATCACAGCCTTTTCTAGAAAATTGTAATTCTGCTGGTTGGTTACAGCTGGTCTCTGCCAGAATAATAAAGTATTATTATTATTATTACTTTAAAACAACAAGAACTTGATCAAGTTAATAGCAGTGTAAAACCAAGGAACTTGAGCAAGAAATTGTTCAATAAATTGATACATAACTTCATGAAGAAATTGTTGATGTAAAATTATGAAAATATACGGTAAATTGAGAAATTTACAATTTATTGATTTTCGTCTTATCCCTTAAGGAAGCGAATATTTTCAAATTTAGCTTTTGCTCAAAAAGAACACAACGCCTGGGTATATTACTTTTTGATAGTGCTAACATTTTCGGAGATATAAAAGTGTTGAAAACGGGACACCCTGTACATTAGTTTGAAACAAAAGTAAATACAAAGCTAAACAGTGAACTAGTTAATGCATAAAAATACTACATTTATAACCATTGGACTATGAACAATGACCAATATTATGAAATGAATTGGCATAGTTGGCATGGTATTAGCATTTTTAAAACAATCCTAAATTCGAGCCTATCCACTCTCTGAAATTCCTAATGCATTGTATACAAATGTTGCACTTACAGGTAACGCCAATGTGCCCGACATAACAATAGTGCGACCGCACGCTCTTTCTGTTCATTCCTACAAGACACCAACATTTTGCGATTTCTGCGGCGAAATGCTGTTTGGATTAGTTCGCCAGGGACTAAAATGCGAAGGTCGCCAGAATGAAGTTTCAACGAGATTGAATGATAATCTTCTATTGTAGGATGCGGCCAAAATTACCATAAACGTTGCGTCGTCAAGGTACCGAATAATTGTTCGTACACATTACTCGGGCAAGGCGGTCCGGAGGATAAACAGAGAAGGTTCTCTAGCACGTTACAGTTACCGTGCAGTCCCTCGGGCAGTTCGAATTCGTCCTTAACATCCGGAAATTCAGTATGTACCGAAGAAAGTAATCTGGTAAGGCTTGCAAATTTTTTTACCGGTAACAAACACTGAAGTTTTTATTTGTTTTAATTAAAACCAAAGGTGCTCATATGCACCCTTACGAACGCACTTGTACTTCTTTTTATATGTATATAGTATTGTAATGTTCCGTCCAATTTATATCATTTACAATAGTACTATATTTTTGTACGATAATTTATATTTGTATTATATCTTGTGATCTGAATGTATTATTAATTAAGCACATGCACACCTTTGGTCAATAATCTCTAAGAACTGCATGTTATTTTTAATTTATTCTTTGCGGACTAATCAGCATTTGCATGTCTTTTTTTTTGCAGTTTTAATTACGCATTAATTATTTCACGCAACTAATAATGGCCACTTGTAATTAATTACAAATGTTATACTTTAATGATTGAGCTCCATTACAGCAGATTCGTATTGTATTATTTACCAAAGAAGCATTTTAAATGGATGTTTTAAGTTCAGCAGTGTTGCAATATCGAACTATACATGGTATTTGGTGCCTATTTTTTGTGCTTATCTAAAATACGAATAGGCATCAATCTAATATCTAAGCACCAACTTTAGGTATGAATGTACATTTATTTAGGTATGGACACAAAATATTTGATATTGATTTCTGATACCTATCAACTCCTACATAACTCATTTTTTTCGCACAAATAACTTCACCCTGCCAGCTTGAGAATCTCCTCAGTTGATAAGTGTGGCAGGCTAGTTCAGGAGTTAGTTACATTTACGAGGCTTGGAAATCCTGCTTGCATAAAATAAAATTGAATCTCTATGAGTTTATGGCATGGGCAGAAATCACAATATAACAATTAATTTTTAATTTACGCACGGCTAGCTCAGTAATAAAAAAGTATTTACCCCTTACCTTATGGAAATTTGGCCTCTTATCTGCTCTTAAATATCTGAAATTCAAAATTTAATGCACTGGTTAGAATGAACTCCAATAAATACGCATATGACTTTAGTTGATTGGATATATTAATAAAACAAAAGGGATCAAGTTCCATTTTTCTTACACCACTTACACCACCTTCGCATCGCACGTCTCTATATGAAAGGTCCTTTTCGCACAATATCGTCAAATGGCATAATACGATACCGCCGGAAGTTATGTGCTACTCGATTGAAAAATTTAAGGCGTTTGTAAAGCGTTCCCTCTTAAATTAACGTGTAACACTTACCGAAGATGAGAGTCAAATTATCGACTTATCCAAATTATCCTAAATGATTGTTAGGTTAATAATATTCAAGCGAATAAAATAACATAACACTGATTGTCACACCAAGCATCGATTTTCAGGGTTAGGTGGAAGAGCAGGACGCGATCTCTATCGTCGACTGAACCTCGCCCAGCTCTGTTATTTATAAGTGGTTTTATAGTTATTATTATGTATTAGCCAAGAGCAATAAAGACAATTTATTATTATTATTATTATTATTTACACGGTTCTGTATACAAAATAGTATTGTATTAACTCACAAGAATATAATTTATCGCACGAAGCGCTACACAAATATTTAACATAACCTTGATGGATTTATAGATTAGATGTCGCTGCAACAAATTTAAAGCTACAATGACCAAAATCACTATTTAAAGCTACAGTGACTTAATCGAGACGACTGCGACAATAGACTGTCTAATTTTTGATTGCCTGTTGAGATTGGCGGCCATGTTGCATCGAATTTCACAGCTTACTTACTATTTGTACTGTGTTTCTGGTACATGTATATGATTGCGTGTGTTTAGAAGTGCATTTATTAGACGAATAATTGTGATCTGTGTTGAAAGACTCAAAATTAGGTCGATTTAGGTGTACTCCTTGTTGGAATATGTGGGGCATAAAGGAGCCAGCTTAGAAAGAATAGAGTTCACTTAGTTATTATATTTTTGAATGGGTATCAAAAGTATCAATTATGCAAGCGTAAAAAAACCGAAGCCTGCCTAGATGCCTACTTGATTCAACATTACAATGGACTTGGCTAGGAAATAAACCTATATCACAGACGCAGAAAATATACTGCCCCCCATAAGTATCTGAACACCCAGTGTACTTTGATCAATTTTGATGAAATTTTCAGGACAGTTGTATTTATTTCGAAATAAGAAACGATGAAAATTTGAACATTATACAAGTTAAAGTAACACTAACAATAATAATAATGCTTCCATGGCCTTCCCCTTCGCTGGATCTAACTCGTGTGGGTGTGGGTTATGATGGGTCGGAGGCTAAATGCTTTACAACCACTTGGAAACACAGGTGATCTTCACAGGCGTCTTTTAGAATCTTGGAACAGTGTATCACAGAAGGATCGATTCACTCATTTTCAGTATGCCCAGTCGAGTAGCTGAATGTGCAACAATCGACAGAGTGATTTACACATAATTAGTATTGTTCGAATTTGTTTCCCTTGTTTCATATTTTAAAATAAATAAATACAGTTTTCCTGAAAATTTCATCAAAATTGATCAAAAGTAGAGTGGCCAACTAAGAATGCGAGGTACTGTATCTGAGAATCTATCCATCGTAGAGGCTTGCCGTAAAAAAAGTTATTAGTAAAACGGCCACGAGCAAAACCTGGAAAATATTTGTAAGTTTCTGAAATGGCCGCTAGGGGGCGTAACTGCAATCTGGAATCTAAAAAAGTGGTGTTTCCGTGAACAACCTAACATAAAATGTCCGATCTTTGAAGACGACGATAATCTGAACCATTTTTGTTTGACAATTTTTCCTGTATCTCTAAAAATGAAGTGGTGCGGTTTTCGCGAGCTTGTTTAGGCATCATTTAGCTATTTTTTCATGAAAAAAAAATCAAACCAACGCATTTAATTTTTTTGAGAAAATTAACCATTTCTGTCGGAATGTCGAAAAAAGCCCTCAAGCGGCGATATGTGAAACTAACAAAACTTCAAATATTATAATATTTGTAGCCGAGTTTGTTAAAATCGCAGGGTGTTCTTTACGGAAACCTTTGAATATCCCCTACCACTTCATTTTTAGATTCCAGATTGCAGTTACGCCCCCTAGCGGCCATTTCAAAAACTTAAAAATTTTTACAGGTGTTTCTCGTGACCGTTTTAGTAATAACTTTTTTTACCGCAAGCCTCTACGATGGACAGGTTCCCAGATACAGTACCTCGCGTTCTTATTTGGCCACCCTGTACATTGGGTGTTCAAGTACTTATGGCGGGCAGTTAGTAGGTACTTATTATCATAAACAAAATTTTTATGAACATTGTTGGATGACTCTTATTTCGCAAATTGCATTCACACAAAAAAGGGGCTGTAGTCTTTTATACACAGTGTGTCTGGGATTGAGTGCATATAAGATGACAAATTTGTTTAGAGTTGTATCTTCATGTTCTGATAATCGCTCATGCTTAGTCTTAATATGATATTATAATATTATATATTTGATAATAAAAATGTATTAAGAAAAGTTGTTTAGAATTAAAAGATATAGAAGACTTTGAATTTTCATACATATCAGCCTACTTTAATTTCATGAAGTAACCGGTCTTGTTTTTCAAAATTAAAAAATTTTTTTTAGCCGAAGTCACATTGATTTGTCATAATAAAAAAGTATGACTTACTTTTGCGAGGGGGGAAGTTAAATTTTTTCCCACAAAGTCACATTTAAATGCCGCTCTCTGATTAATTTACAACTCATTATTCAGGTATAAAGTTGTATTAACTACATACATTGTTCTTGAGTTCCAAGTTAACCCAGAACTTCGTGACCCCCCTTACTACGTTCTCTAACAAGTGTGAGGCCTAAGCAATTGCATGATCATGGGGACGTTGAGTGTTTCTGAAGGAAGAGTATTAGTGGGGGGTGTGGGAGTATGGAAGAAAAGACTGCCCAGGAAAGGTTTTCTGTTTTCACTAGAGAGCCATTAATTTCCTGATACTATATTCTTTAATATCACGTGGAGAGGCTTAAGCATTCTCATGAATCATGAAGATGGAGGTGTTAAGCGCTTTAAACTTTTTTGAGGGAAAAGTATACCGGGGGGGATCTCAAATCTCAGAAAAGACCCCTTATTTGAAAAGATAGCGAGAGGAAAAATAGCACTAAGGAATCTGGGATCATAGTTAGTGTCATTGTATGTAAATGGTGAGGCTGCGATACAGGAATTACGCTTTACAAAATGACAATACCAAAGTGCAGTTGAGGCAGGGCTTTGACGGCTGCGCCGCCTCACGGCGCATGTTGTCTAAACTAAATACATGTACATGTTTTTGATCTGATGGATTCGGTTAAAACACGTATGCCACACTGCTAACTTAAAACAATTCGGATTTACTTGTTGTAAATTACATTTTTTATTATTATATAATTTATTGTTTTTTAAGAAAATTTATTTTAACATATCAAATTGTTGCACTAATTAGTAATAGTTGACCAAAATACTCCTATATCAATTATTTGCTTACTATAGAAGACGATTTTCAACGAAAACTGTTGTTGGTTAACATGCCATCATAACTTGATCGTTAGTATTTAACCTTTTTACAATGCAATTGGAATAATTGTACCTAGTGAATTACACTTGAGTGTTTTATACAAATATTCACTAAAGTCTGATTGTATGAATTAATACTCAGTTGCAACATTAACTTAAGATTTTTGTAAGAGGGGATGTAATCTCAGAAATTTGTCAACGAATGAGTTAATAAATACGTTTTTTAAGATCTCATTTCTCTTCTTTACCAAACGTGCCATTGTTAGTTGTGTGAAGTCGCAAGCTACCTGAAAATCAACTTTTTTTTTAATACAAGTTTTCCCGCAGTCCCACACAAAATGTCCCTCATTAGGCGGACGGCCAATATGGGTTGAAAAGGAGATCGCTTCCAGAGTGAGAATTCCGCACACGTTCGTTTTACATAGTTATACGCGCCCTACCGTTTGTCAGTATTGTAGAAAATTACTCAAGGGTTTATTTAAGCAAGGCATGCAGTGTAAAGATTGCAGTTACAATGCTCATAAAAAGTGTATAGAGAACATTCCGAAAGATTGCACGGGTGATATTCCTAAAGATTATAAAGGTATATGCCACGGATCGATTTTCAATTTTTAAGGCTATTTTTAGGTAATTACGAGTTTACCGAAAATGCAGTTGGTTGTGAGGATAAACACTACAATTTTCGAATTTCTGAAGATGACAGTGAAACTGAGGGAGAATCTCAAACTCGATCTAATGGTGCTGCTACTTACATAGATGTCATGCCTGTTCGTGATGACGACAACGACTCAAATCCTTCCAGGTACTATTTTTGTTTTAAATTGTATGATGAAACACACTTGCACATTATATTGCATTTTTTATCTGTAGGAATATTGCAAACCAATTTTCATATTCTTGGAAGCTTCTATTGTACTTTGCTGTTTTGACTTAAAATCTTAAACAGTAACGTGGCAACACCGCGATTTCAAAAATGTCTTAATTCGGTTCTTGAAGAGATCTTGTATTTTTTTAAATATTGAAAACAAAACACAATTATTATATTCGAATGTTACATTACCTTACATTTTTAACTTTTTCCTATATCGTAGGTACTGTTTTAAATGATATTTAATAGTTGTGTAGCTGTTTGAAGAGTTGTTTTTCAATCCGAGTGTGTATTCGGTAGAAACGTTGGCTTTTGATAAGATTGCTTTCACTTCTGAGTCCAGTTTTGGAGGGCATAGATCTGGAAAATTTTTGTGCAACCTTTTTTTTAGTCACATATTACGCCACCTAGGTACTACCTGTTCATCAAGAAGTGTCCATATGATCCACAACGGGATCCTCGCTTAGTAGGTTTGATACCTACCAGGCAAACATGAAAGTAGGAAGATATTATGATCGTGTTTCAGGCCGTGTGGTCTTTTATTTAATGTAGCTGAAGTAGCAGTATCGTGAGTCCTATTTTGATTGAAACTACAGTGTATCTAAGATGTTTTTAAATATAGAAACTTGGGTTTTTCGCGACCCTGCGCCACTTTTTTGTGAAACTTTTAATACCACAAACAGAATCAATCTAGCTAGCTTTTTTTCTGAGGTACAGGGTGAAAACGAAAATGTTAACTTTTTGGGATGTAATCATATCTTACTACCAATGTAAGGTAGAGGTAAGGTAAAAGGTTTTAGGTATTTGTACATAGAAACCAGTTTCTGAAATTTGACCTAAAGTTGGTTTTCTTACTGCATGACTCCTGATTACATTATGGATTTACACAACCTATATCTTTTTTTATATATGTATTTACATTTGTATTTTTCAAAATTTTCAAAGGATATTTTTATTGATTGATTCGACTGTCTTAGATGGATACATTTAACAAAACAAAATCTCCTCGAATCCATGGCCTACTAATTAAAAAACAAGTAAAAATGTTTTGGTATTAAAGCAAGTAACTTTTGCGCAATTTCCATGCATTGATAAGTACTTCCCAAAAGACCATAGCTATGTGCACTATGTTTTTCTTTACTAATAGCATCGATGGTTAAAACACACCTAATTTTTGTTATATGCGACATTCTTGCCCTTATTGTATCTGTTGTTAAAATTTCAAAAAAACTATCTCGAAATAAGAATGGTAGGGTTGCACAATTTGATGTTTACAATATGCCATATGTTTGAGAAGCATCCTTGGTTAAAATTTTAAGAAATATCTCAATATCTAGGAAAGTTGACATTTGGCAATCTGCACATGCGCACATTAATCTTAAAGATTTTTTTAATGCAACACCATGTATATCTTAACTTCAATTGTTTTTAGTTCTTTTTCCTGATTACATTGATGTATCACAATCGCAATATATAATTTTAGCGCATTTTTCAACGAAGTTGGGTGCGCTATTGCAGCCACTTTCTCTGTCCGTCTGTCCAAGGCCTAACTACTATTCAGTTTTCAATATATTTAGTTTGTTCTTTTTTAATTCGGTAGCGTATAGCTCTGGCACTTAAGCCATGAAAAATCTTGGCGATTAATGTGCGCATGCGCAGGCTGCCCTTGGTGAATTTTTCTCAAATTTCTGACGGTGTTATGACCCATAAAATATTATGTTTTTCAATCAAGTCTGATATTGCAGCCATAACATCAACAGCTTTTGAGGTCGTTTTTAGTTCATTCTCTTCTTTTATTGCAATATCATAAATCGCACATAGACTATCATCTGGAAACACTGTGCAACATCAGTGCTTTCATCAGCATAAATGAACAGATGCTGGTCAAGAACCATGACCAGTTGTTTTTGTACCATAACCGCCTGGTTGACCATTAGCCTACCAAGAGGGTTATTGGGATCTATGATCTTTGAGTTGCCTCTAGACAGCTTGCTTGTAGCTACGATTGCGAGGTGCTTCAGCCTTACTGACATCCACCTTTGGTTGGGGCTGTGGTCTGCCCTTCTTTGTCTTCTTGTACTCTAATAAATATCATAATCATTAATAAAGCCTGTGTTATTTGCAGTAATTCTTCATCACCTAGTGCCAATATTCCATTACAACGAATTGTACAGTCAGTTAAGCATACTAAACGGAAAAGCACCAAATCTTTAAAAGAAGGCTGGCTGGTGCATTTCACAAGTAGAGATAAAGCGGTAAGTGTAGCCTGTGTAGTAGTTTTGATAATTTTGGTTGTCCCAGTCTAAAAATTAGCTACTCATTTAAAGTTATCTTATGGATGACCTTATATGTTAATGCATTTATTTCCGTGGATATTAACTATTAGATAAGTTTAACTGAAGACTGTACAATATTTTTTCTACTTACATTCTTGATTGTAGCATTAAAATCGCCCACCAAATACAGGAATTGGGAACAGTATGTGTTCTTCAATTGACTTTTTGTTTGGAACATTTTTTTAACGCTCAAAACAAGACAAGATTTGTACTGTCATTAAAATGCTGTTCTGACAGTAATAGTTACCCGTTCTACTCTGTTGCAGGTTCGTCACCATTATTGGAGACTGGATACAAAGTCCATAACCCTCTTCAATAATGACCAAACCACTAAATATTATAAGGAAATACCACTTGCTCACATTCTGGCAATTGACACTGCAAGACTTAAGAATGGAGGTTAGTACAAAGCATTTAAAAGAAAATATTGACTCCAATGTGTGCTTGAGTGCGTTTTTGATATTTATCAAGCATTATGTAACATTGCTACTTGGCAACTTTGTCTTTTTAGCGCATTTCCACAAAAATAAAAAAAAATGCGCTATTGTGGCCTCTTTGTCCGTGCGTCCGTCTGTCCGCTTGTTCGTTGAGACTACTTCTTTATCTTGAGAGCTATTGTTCTACTTTTTTCGCTATTTGGTTCGTTATGGTGTCGAGGTTTGCACCAAGGAAGGAATTTTTTCTGCGTTTATTGCTAAAAAAGTTATTGTAAAAAAACCAAACCGTTTTTGACATTTTCCATAATTTTACACTTTTGCCGTTTATTAACGATCCTAGAGATCGTTTATAATTTTGTATTGCTGTCTGTCGTCTGTCTGTTGGTCTGTCCGTGTGTTCCTTTGTCTGTCTGTCTCTTTTTAGAAATATCTGATCGCTTTGACAACTCCGTTAGTTATGAACTGAATTGCATGAAATTCAATATGGACATAGCTTCAGCCATATAGTACGTAATGCCAAAAGTTAAGTCAAATGGATTCAAAATTCACAGTGCCCTTTTCGCATCTCGACCATTTATAAACCGAATTGCAAACATTTTTATTTATAAAAGTATTTAAATGAAATTTGATACATAGACACTTGGAATAAAGGAAAATCTAACGCCAGTTTCAAAATTTTATTTTGCGCATGCGCAGTGCCAACTTTTTTATATATGGCAGCATTTAAGTGAAATTTGATACTTAGGCGCTCTGAACAAAGGAAAATCTAACGTTAGTTTCAAAAATTTAGGTTTGCGCATGCGCAGTTTCAACTTTCTTATTTAGAAAAACATTGAAATGAAATTCTTCTTATAAACTGAAATTGAAGTAGCACGTCAAAAATGGATTGCACATGTGCAACGCTATCTTTCACATTTGTGGCCGGATTTTTACGATTTTAACAGAAGTTACATCTTACAAATGGGAAATAAATGCAAGTGGAAATGCGCTTTTTGTAAATCGTTTACGATTACTTTTTAACTTGTTTGCTTTCCGATGAGATTTTCGAACAGGATACTATTTCGTGATTTTGATGGTTCACTCATCAGTGATTGCTAAACTTCTATGCACAATTCAAACACTACTGAAAAGGTGCCATTTTACAAAAATAATTATTAATCGCTTTTTAGATGTAATGCATTGCTTCGAAATAAGAACTTTAAATGTCGACTATTTTGTTGGGCAAGATCAATCGTACGGGCTCGAAGAAAACGCCTCTGTTCCTGTTTCACCCGCCGAGAGTGGTATTGGTGCTCATGTTGCCTGTAGTTGGGAGACCACAATTAGACAAGCGTTGATGCCTGTAACCGCCAATATCCGTAAGTATAATATTGCTGTTTGACTTCAAATCGATCGATGTAATTGTTTAGGTTCGCAAGAGATTGGAGAGCCGGAAGATCAAATAACAGACATGAATCAAGTCTATCAAATTTTTCCAGATGAGGTTTTGGGATCGGGTCAATTTGGTATTGTTTATGGTGGAATTCATAGGAGAAGTTCTAGGCCGGTGGCCATAAAGGTAATTGATACATGGTATGAGGCTAAGTGTCACTTTTGGTTATAGGTGATAGATAAATTACGCTTTCCAACGAAACAAGAGGCGCAGTTAAAAAATGAGGTAGCCATTTTACAGAACTTCTCACACCCCGGCGTCGTTAACTTGGAACGTATGTTCGAAACTCCGGAACGTATTTTTGTAGTTATGGAGAAATTGAAAGGAGACATGTTGGAAATGATTCTTTCTCACGATAAAGGTCGTTTGGACGAAAGGGTTACCAAATTCCTAATCTCACAGGTTGAAAGGTTTCATTTATAATTTGCGATGTAAATTATCTGTATTACAGATACTTATTGCATTAAAACATCTGCACAGTAAAAATATTGTGCATTGCGATTTAAAACCTGAAAATGTATTGCTCAGTTCAGATGCGGAATTTCCGCAGGTTAAGTTGTGTGATTTCGGATTCGCAAGGATTATTGGAGAGAAATCGTTTCGAAGATCCGTTGTAGGAACACCCGCCTACTTGGGTAAATTGTATGCTCTAGCGTGACAGTAGATAATATTGATTTTGTTAGCACCTGAGGTTCTTCGTAATAAAGGTTACAATAGATCACTGGACATGTGGAGTGTTGGGGTGATTATTTATGTAAGTTTAAGCGGCACTTTTCCATTTAACGAAGACGAAGATATTAATGACCAAATACAAAATGCAGCTTTTATGTATCCCTCAAACCCTTGGAAAGAAGTGTCTTCTGATGGTTAGTTGCGATACATCCGTAACTCTAATTTTTAATTTCTTGTTACAGCGATAGATCTAATAAATAATTTATTACAAGTGAAACAGAGGAAGAGATATACGGTTGATAAATCCTTACAGCACATTTGGCTTCAGGATTATCAAACATGGCGGGACCTGCGTTCACTGGAAACGCAAATAGGTGTACGTTACATAACACACGAATCTGATGATTCCAGATGGGAAGTGCACCATTCCGAGCATGTCTGAAAATATACTTAATGTGAATCTCAGTATACTCATTTTTTTGCATGTGCTAATTTATGGAAGGAATCTGTGATATTTTTACAGTTTTTAATTTAGTTCACGTACTAGTAGTATTATATAAGCATTTATATACTTAATACTTTCAATGGGATGTGGTAATTGTAAGTTTTTAGACACTTTTACGTTAAATAAATTAATGCAATGTAAAACCATGGCGTGCGAGCACTTTGTCATTTTGTAAGACTAGATTCAATGAGTTGTACCATTAACAAGGAAAAGAGCCAATTAGCTCAGTCAAGAACCTCATGCAGTTGGATTTTTCGCTGTATCTGTCTTTATTCATCTCGTGGCTCGCTACCAGACGGTGCGTAAGCTATACAAGAAGGGAAATCCTCTAATTATCTTCTCTTTGATTTAAAATGCGGGATTATAAGATGCGCTACTTGATCCTTAATGTTGGCATTCTCACTTGCACTTTTTCGTGTTACATCAATGATGGACGATGCCAGAACAAAGTCATGCCAATTGTGATGTTCTCTCGGTACTTGCAATTTATCATTTTACCAGGTGTTTGGTCGCAAATTGAACCGTAGATGTGTTTTATACTAAAATGATATTAGTGTTTGTACTTTGTTACTGTAGTTGATTTATTTGTGTGTATTATGCCAGGTTTTTTCTTCTTGCTGGCCCTTTTTCCCCCATCTTTTCGATTTGGATTTGCTCCGCGGAACCAAGCCTCGTGTTTCCCATCCCAATTATGTCTCACATTCCAACACATAAAAGACCGCTATCGTAAAAAGATAACGTAGGAGTTAATTTGTACCACCCAGTCCCAACAGAATACTACCGCGATTTGAAAGGGGCGCAAAAAGTCCAACATTTGGACAACAAAGGTTAAATGGCGCTGCTTGTAATTGTTCCCCAGAGTTGCCAACTGTAAGTATAGGACAAGTTCATTTTCAATGCCTGCTGGGGAACCACTAAGCCCTTTCTAGATGATGACTTATTTTTCCTTGAAAATACATAGGATGTGACTTTGGAGCAATAAAATCCTTCTGATAAGAGCAAGATGGAAAATTACATGGCCTTGTAGGGCAAATTCAATGTTACGACAAACTATGTCGAAATCAGTGAATCGCAACTTATAAAAATCACATATAGATCCTAAACCGAAAGGTTTTTATTAACAAAATCGCCCCCCAAGATAGATAACTCACCCCTTGTTCGGGGTTTCAAGCCTACAGTGGATTGCCGCGATCAGCTCCGGTATTAAGTGTTGTCACTCACTTGGTTACAGTTTTTGCCACCTCCATCAAACAATTCGATAATTTCCACATGTTTAAAAGAATGATCAAAAATATAAATCTAAGTTGGGACCAAGACCATGTAATCAAAACATGAACAACAATTTAGCAAACATTATACCAAAAATAAACGCTATTTCAAACAAAATGTTAACGGTATCAAACACATGAATCGGCACTGAGGTTAAATCAAATCAACTTCAAAATTAAAAATTGACACTCACAAAAAATATGTATAAAATGCTGCATGCAAAACACATATACATTATAAAGATATGCAAAGATTACTACCTGCATTAAATAACACAAAAACAACATATACGGAGCGATGCTTTCATTGCCATTATGCCAAACGAACCAACGTTCGTGGAAGCCCCCTTTCAATCAGTCATAATCGTCTTGTTGTTGTTGTAAAGTTTTTTCAGAACAAAGTTTTATTCGAGTTAAGCTCAAGCTTGTGTCACGGAGTGTTGTGTTTATTGAGCAGTTATCGCATAAGCGGGGCCTTTCTATAAGGTTTCCAAGTCCCCGATAAAGACTAAACGTCTTGGGATGCTTACGGAAGGCGTGATTTTCTTTCACGATAACGCCCGTCCGCATATCGCTAAAATTATAACGTCACAGATAACGCGACTGAGGTAGGAGGTATTAGAACACCCCCGTCACAGCTCGGTTCTGTTACCCTATGACTTCCATGTCTTTGGACTCTTAAAGAAGGCACTCAAGGGACAGCGATTCCATTTGGACGCTGAAGTCGGACAGGCAGTTTTCACATGGTTCTGCCAACAGCCACAGGAGCGGTATGCCACCAGTATACCGCGTTTTGTGAAGCAGTGGGATGCCTGCTTATGTAGTAATGGCAATTTTGTTTAGCTTAAATGAACCGCTTATATGTAACACCGCTCGAACGTGGAACGGGTGTTCCGTATATAAAAAACCACATTTACGTAACATAAAAAATGCGTTGTTGTTTTGTTTTTTTAATTACTGACATGGATTCAGTAGACACAATTGTGGTAATTTAGCCGTCTTTCTAACTCTACAACTAAAAAAGTTAGCAAAGATTTTGAAAAAAACGAACAGTAATAGGGTAATACCAATAATTAAGGAACAAAAAGTTAGCGGGAAAAGATTTTTGAAAAGAGCGGGAAAAAATAGCGTAGTTTAGACGAAATAACAACAGATGGCCCTGAAACGAATCAGAGGCGTAACATTGAATAAAATGTATTACACATAAGCTTAGAAAATTAGAATAGTGAAAACAGTAATGAAAGAAGAAGCGTTTAGAATGTGAAAAGGAAGATAAAATTGTAAGAAGAGTGCAAGAATCGAAGAAATCAAAAGAAGAGATTTAAGGAAATAAGTAGTACGCCTATGATATGATATTCAAAATGATATAAACAAATTCCTAACCAAAAATCAAAATGAGTAACGCAAAAATAAACTAAAAATGAACCCGTAACAGACTGTATAGAACCGAGCCTGCGGACAGCGTTTTATTACATGTAATTTTTCCACACGTTTTGATGAAGTGTAATGCTGGCAAAAGTATGAACATTATTTAAAATAAAATCAAATATAATAAAATAATGAGCAATTAAAATAAAATAAAAAAATTGATCAATTAAAATAAAAATTAAAAAATAATATAAGATAAAATACAATAAAGTAGAATAAAAAATTAAATAAATATTTTATTTTAATATAGTTTTTAATTTTATTTTATTATAGTTTTTAATTTTATTTTATTTTAGTTTTTAATTATATTTTATTTTACAATATCGTGCGAAAACAACCATTCAAATCTTCCACAATTGTGAGAGGCTGCACACTTAGAGGTAATACAGGAAGACTACCTTCCTAGACCCCCTAAGGCTGCCATCTAGGTCACGGGAGAACCTGACGACCTGGTGGCGGTCAAAGGGCGCTGGGAGGTGCAGAACACAGTTTTCTTCGATATACAGCACGAGAAACCTAGAACATGTATTTACGTTCCTAGCAGTGGTGGCTAGTTGAGTTTTGATTAGGAGGCAACACATCGAGATTTATGAACAACCGTTTATTTTTGCATGCTTACAACTTTGCCAATTTTTGAAATGAAATTTCATGCGAAACAAAAAAATGCACATTTATCTTCACATTCACACAGCTACTGAATCTCAGAGCAGTGCACATCAGCGTTGGCGACAAAATACTAAAGTTCACAGTAGTGAGAGGATGCCCCCAAGGCGGGGCGGGGGTCCTCTGTCGCTTCAATGACAGTGGCTACTATACGTACCGTTGGGGGTATGCGGACGATATATCCATACTAATAACCTGCAAATTTGAGGCTACTCTATGCAGACTGATGCAATCAGCTTAGATTAGCCGAAGAAAACGAAGCTAGTTCTTTACACAAAAAAAAGAAAGGTATAGGGCTATTCAAAGAACACCTCCAATTCCAAGTCAGTGAAATATACAGTCCTTTAACAGTGCGTCAGTCTTTCCTAGCTCATACCTGGTAAAAAATATCAAAAAAACCTTTTGTGCAAATGCCAACTATACATGGTTGCGCATCTACAGAAATTATTTTTGAATGTACACTGGGTGTACCATTTTGACGGTGTCAATAGACAACTGATTTTTTTAATAGAACACCCTATATATTTTAGTTGTTTCGATGTCATTTTTTAACCTATTCACTTTTTGGTTGTTACAAATTATTAATTTTTTTCCGAATAATTTGTCAATAAGCTCTGGTAAATCATAGTGACTTTGATTTTAAAGTTAAGAAATACATTTGATCAATAATGTTAATCTGAACAAAAGGAAACACTTTGGTAATGAGAAAGTGGGATTTAGTAATACAGGGTGTTCACAACAAAATTTCAAAGTGTATTTTTTTTCAAATGGAACTACCACTATTTTATTTCTCTATTTGATTATCTTTTGTGTGCTCTACAATTTTTATAAGGGGTGTCAGGTGCCCCCCGTAGTTTTTGGGTTATTCAATACACACAAAAATAGTTACATTAATTAATTACACATTTATAAACAGGAGTAGGCCGTGATAATAAAAAACCAAAGAATGCGAGACAGTAAACAAGTGCCATAAATTTATGATTGCACTTGCAGCAGATAATTTATTTGTGACTTACTTTCTGGTATTCTTTTATTTTTTATTATCACGCGCTACACCGGTTTATAAACATGTAATTGATTTTTGTGAAAAATATTGAATAACCTAAAAACTATGGGGTTTAGGCAAAGGACACCCTTAAAAAATTGAAGAGCACACAAAACACTATCGGAGAGAGAAATAAAATAGTGGTATTTCCATTTGAAAAAATACCGAGTCAAATCTCAGAAACGGTGGTTCAAACATTTTTTTGACCATGCTACTGGATTCTACGTGAAAATATCTAAAATAGGCATGGGTATATAACATACCAAAAAGTTAAACTTTTCATTTTCATCCTGTATCTCAGAAACAAACTTAGCTAGATTGATTTTTTGGTATTAAAAGTTTCACAACCAAAATAGAACACATGCTACAGCTATATTTTTTGCAGCATCTTTTTATAGCTTGAAATAATGAGAAATTTTGTAATGTTTTACATAATCACAAGAGCGTAGCCATCATTACCTTCTTTGTGTGGATGACTGCTGCCAAAAAATAATGACGAAACCTGCATAGAGCGTTTTGTCACCATTGGAATATGAAAAAGTTGTCGCCCAATTTTTATTACACCCTGTATAACACTAGTAATCTGTAGTACACAATAAACTTAACATTTGGGTAAACGATAGTTAGTTCGAATTGTACTGTTTCTTTATGTACTTCACATACTTAATCCTAGCACTAACAGTCCCTGCTCCATTTATTCGCTTATGTAGATAGTTATTATTCTATTTTATGAAATTATTTATAAAATTATCGAGTTTCAAAGTCTGGAACTTGGTTAACCTTACGCGGATTTTTAAAATGCAAATGCGTGCATAACACATAAAATGTAAAAAACCAGAAACAATTTTGATTTGTGACAATAAAAAACGACACCACCACTCATTAAATGGAAACAATAACATTACTGTAATATTCTTTACTAAAGTTACGTCTCAAATTTATCTCTATACATTATTTAAACCATTTTTTGAATGAAATTTATGCACCAAAAAGCATAAAAAATATTTTATTTTACATATAAATGATATTTACGATAAAGCATAAATATTTAAATTCACAATCTTTCCGTGCAAAAGTAATTTTTGCAAATACGTTTTATTCTGGTGAGAGTGTGAGTTAAAATTAATAAGAACAATATTTATAGACTAGAATGCATTAAGAGAAATATATTAATAATAAATTACCTTCTATAGCACTCTGGGATATAATCTCTATCATAATCTAATTTAGTACGGCACTGTATTAAACAATTACGCGAAATTTAATTCAGTTGACATCTGAACACCTAACAATAGAAAACATCAGTCACCAATATAAAACGTAGGAAATGTAATATTATCTCCAAAATGAAAGTTATTTTAATTTACAGAAACTTTACAACAAATTGCGAGAAATAAATTTATGAAATGCAAGTATTTAATTACTACCAATAATTGAATAGTACAAAATAGAAAATAATTTGTATTTTTGTACTCCACACATTTAGACATTTTTTCACAATACACATTTAATGTATTCATGTGGATATCAACTGTAAAAGAGAGCAATCAGACAATTTGTTTACCATTTACTTGCGTCACTTACCGATTTAACAGTTTCTTTAATAAATTCCTTTTTGTGGGCCAAATCAAAATCTGGATAATGTGCATATACCTGTTTGCAAACGGTTTTCATCGTAATTTCTTCCAGATTTGCACCATCTAGAATTTCTTTCACATATTTCCGGATTTCCTCATCCTGTTAATTCGTTTATCAGTTTTCTTTACAGTAAATAAAGACAACCTACCGTCGGAGGCTGAGAACTTTTGGCTTTTTTAATTAGAGGTTCATCCTCAGATGAGCTGGTATTTCCATCTTCGGCCTCACTCTCCGAACTCGCTTTCCTTTTCTTATTACTAACTTTCTTAGCGGGGATCGGTTTCTTTTCCGTTTCAACTACCGGTTTACGCCCCCTACCTTTAGGTCTCCCTCGACCTTTACTGCTGACAGGTGTGACAATCTTCTTGTTCTTTTTACGTTTCCTTGGCTCCTCCTACAATTTGGTACTTATGACATTTTACTGTCAAAATTTGATTATACTCACATCGCTATCTTCTGACGTTATACTTTCGTCAACAGCACTCACTTCGTCTTCTTCTTCGTCTGAGTTCTGCTTCTTACGTCCAGTCCCTTTTTTACGTTTGGAACCGCGAGACTTTGTATCGCTCGCGTCTGAGGGATGAAATTCTTCGTCGCTTTCACTCGTCGTGTCGTCTTTCAAATTTGTGCGTCTACCTTTACCACGGCCTCCTCTGGAAACGCGTCTCTCGTCACTTGAATATGAGTCATCGTGAGATGAATAGCCTATAAAAATGTGAAACAATTTCGATACAATTGTAGAAATAAAATGAACCAATCACAAAATTGTGAAACACCTACAAAGGGTGTTGCAATGTAATGAATTTGTTACAATTTTTATAAATGTTTCTTATAAGTAATCTACTTTTTTCTTAAATACCCCCTGTAGAAATGCAATTATTACACTTTCAAGCCAAACCACATAAAGACCTTGAAACAAATGTGTGCATCTACTTACCTCGATTATTTGCCCGAACAGCAGCTGTTCGTTTTGGTCTTCCTCCGCCGACAGATTTCCCCGAATCCTTAGGCTCTACTAAGAAATCAACAACTCGCTCGATAATTTCGTCTTTCGCACCTTTTTTATCTAAGTCTAACATTTCACAAATACTTTTTAGCTGCTTTAATTCGAACTTTTTTGCGGAAGCTATCTTCTTGTCGTACTCGTCCGTATTTTTGGCAAAATCAAAACCGTTAAACTTTTTGATGTTCTTCTTAATTAGGGTAGTTTTGCCGGGCGTTTTGAATAATAGGCGATGTAAAAGTTTCAAGTCTTCATTTTTAAATCTAGATATGGAGGCGTCGATGCGAGGTATGTCGCCTAACTGCGTCCCTCTACCTTCGGGTATGTCGATTTGTGACTAAAATGGAGATTATTAACATGTGCGTTTTAAAGGTGTAGGATTTACCTCTTTTGAATCTGCAGAGTTGGCTTCGTCCGTAACTTGATTGGCCTTCTTTTTATCTCGACCTGATTTTTCTACAGGCGACTCTGATTTTGTATCCGGTTTATCCTCATCATTTGTTTCATCTTTTTCATCCTCCAATGGTGGACTACTACTTTTGATATCCTTCTTGTCCTCGACTTTTTCATCATTATCATTTTCCTTTACAGTCTCGTCCTCAGACTTGGCATCAGTTTCTTTATTATCGCTGTTCTCTTTCTCCAATTCAACAGAATTTTCATTCGGTTTCGGGGTCACTTCTTTACTGTCCGCTACTTCGGTCATAACCTTTTCATCAGGTTGTGTACTATCACTTTTACTGTCGTCGGTTTCGGTTTGCTTGACCTATGGTACACATAAAAATGAAATTATTTACCTTTATCAAATAGGACAGCAACGAGTCTCATTCATTTTCCCGCCAATTGAAATAGTGATTACGCCGCCATATTGGAAACATAAAACAGTTGTAAGGCATTTGGAAAGGTTTTAAAGCCGCAAATGGGCGAGAAAAATTATCTCTAAATTAAATAACGACGATTACACAAATATTTACCTCAGAAGACGCACCATTCTCCGATTCACCTGACATATTTTACTTGAAAGTATTTATTCTGCGGTCGCTAAAGCCTAACATAAAGTCACACGCATTGCAGGAATGCCCAAACAAATAACGACCTTGACACTTGAATCACTTCGGGCACTTTTAAATTTTCCTCAAACGCTTAAGTCTAATTGCAGTAATTATACATCGCTCCTTAAGACATTAAAATAAAATACTTAACGAGGAAGCTTTCCAAAAGTGTATTTACAGAAGGCAATCACTTTTTTAGATAAACCAATAGCGTGGTTGCCGGTTGACATATACAAGGTGATTCAATTTATAAGTATGACTTCCGTGAAGTTGGCTACAAAAAGTTTTTATTGTCAACAATCAACTAAAAACACAACATTCTTATTTATTTTATTTAAAATCTGTTCGTCACTCTCGTGAAGTTGACCATGATTTTTCGGAATTTTTTGAAACCGTGAAAGCTGCAATGAAAACACATTTTCGGACAAGAGATAAGATGCATTTGTTCATTTTCGAACGCGTATTTTTCACGCCCAACTTCAAGAAAGTCAAACTACCCCTTTGTTTGCAGAATGGGAATACAGTTGACTTTTATTTCAGTTTGAAGTATGTTTGGTTGCATAACGATCTAGGTAACTAAAAATTTGGAACCGCATTATTTTACCTCAAACATATACATATATTCATATGTCTATGACCTCAAATCGTTCAATTTAAAGTCGATGTACAGATGCACGAACAGACGGACAAGGTATTCCAATAATGTGTTTGCGACATATTCAAATTAATCAAAATTGTTGAGTTTATGTGAATCATCTTCATGAACGGTAAATTTCTGCTAAAGCTAAAGACGTCATCTCGGAAAAGGTGCGACCACCGTAACTGCTCCGCGTCCCGTTTATCACTTTTTATTGGAAACGCAAAATTTAGGTTTCAAAGTTATTATAAAAAAACTGAATTTACAAAGTCAAATGGACAGGGTGGCGAACTAAGAATGCGAGGTACTATATCTGAGAATCTATCCATCGTAGAGGCTTGCGGTAAAAAAAATAATACTAAAACGGCCACGAACAAAACCTGGAAAATATTTTTAAGTTTTTGAAATGGCCGCTAGGGGGCGTAACAGCAATATGGAATCTAAAATAGTGATGCGGTTTTCGCTAGCTTGTATAGGCATCATTTAGCTACTTTTTCATGAAAAAAAAATCAAACCAACGCATTTAATTTTTTTGAGAAAATTAACCATTTCAGTCGGAATGTCGAAAAAAGCCCTCAAGCGGCGATATGTGAAACTAACAAAACTTCAAATATTATAATATGTGTAGCCGAAGAATAACTCTTTTCAATTAACCCGAGTTGGTTAAAATCGACTCAGTCGTTTCGAAAATACAGGGCGTTCTTTACGGAAACCTTTGAATAACCCCCCCCCCCCCCACTTCATTTTTAGAGATACAGGAAAAATTGTCAAACATTCTTATTTGGCCACCCTGTACAATCTGTTTCTGGCTTCTTATTTTAGGTAATATCCAAGATCTATATATCTTGGTAATATCATACCGTTTTCCAGATATATTTTTGGGTTTGGTAGGCTGTAATAGCCTCATTGCTTCTCCTGCGGCTTTTTGACAAATGATTGCTGCACACCCGCTTTGTACAAGAATTTCAAAATTAATCTGACTCAGAGAGAAGGGAAAATTAAGAGGCGTTTTTGTATTGGTCGTATTAAATACCATTTGGGTATACAGTGTGTCCCTGGTGAACGCACCATAGGGAAAGACAATGTATTTTTTCATGAAGGATCCACGAGGTCTTTGAAATTAGCGTTGAATGTACTACTTCAATCTCTTTCTAGCATCAGGCAAGCGCGTTTCCGTACGTACATTGAACTAGGTATAACATCAAATACATATCAAAGGACTTGTGGATACATTAACTCTGTTTACCTATGTTGCGTTCAACCTAGGATACACTGTATATGTACTCCTTCGTTTTTATAGCTTGCATTTCAAAAAAAAATTAAGCAATCTTACACCTTCAAATAACCTAATGTCCAACTCTGCTGGGTTGGGTATATATACATATGCAAAAGGGAGAGAAGGGGCACCTGTCATATCTTTGATGAACCGTCTGCATATGTAGTTAGTGTCCCTGCCATGGTCCTGGTTTCACATTCTGGGTACGGCACAATTGTTTGTATTGTATAGTAGGGCAGCCAAACAAGTGGCTGTTCGCCTACTATAAAAAAACTAAAAAAAGATTTTAGATTTGAATTAAGTCTTCATTCAGTATTTGTTGAAAAACATCTGTTGATACTTCCCTGTGCCTGTGGAGAATTATTTTTTTATAACTTTGCGTTGGAATTTTATCGAGTGCGCGTAAAAAAACAATAGGAAGTTTTAGAGGGGTTTATTCCCCTTCATCTTGACACTTATTCTTCTAGCTATAGTAGGTATTAATTGAAATGAAATTTTTTACTGTTATCACATACTTATAAAATTTTAGGTCATAACTTTGTACGAGACTAATTTATGAGTTATTCGTGTATGTTAAAATTGAACTATTACAAAGGAATATGGCAGTTCCATTCATACTTAGCAAACAGCAAGTGAGCAACAAAATTTTGAATCAGAGTTGGCCCTGAAGGAGAGACATATCGGTCATGTGTAACTATTCAGAGTAGTTTTACTCCAAAAGTGCACTCGCACCTCAAGATGCAGTATGGTGCTTATGGACATACAGTACATGCTTGCCAAACTTATTAACAAACTTGACAATGGCAGTACAAGGATATTATGTTTTTTTAATACTTCAATTCAATCATGGCAGTTTGGGATCATTGGGCTGAGGAACAAGGATAGCACTATCGAAGAATTACGCAAATTAGTAAGAGAGGCGTTTAGTCCATAAGACCTCATACTCCATCTGGAGGTGCGAATGCAGTATAACCCTACCCACTTAAAATGAATGTTGGACTAAACCTAAAATTTCCAGTCTTCTCCGCATTAAAACATTGTTGCTCATACCTCACCGTATGAATTAATGTAAAATTGGGCAACGAACGAACACCTCATAACAAGGGTCAGAAACGAGATATTTTGTATATAATTTAATAGTAACATTATATTTTCACATAAATTAATTTTTTAAATCATATATTTGATAATACCAAATGACTATTATTTTTAATGTTGTACTATTACATATAAATATAATGATTGTACATAATTTAAGAAATTGGCTAGATATATACATACATTCATGAAATAAATATATAAAAGATCATTTAAATATAAATTACACCTATTTGATAATGACAAAAAATTTACGTAAAATAATAATTACATTCACGTTTGAAGCGTTAATAAACAGTATTACTTGATGTGCTTTATATATTTCACATAATTATATTATCCGTCTGTCAACGTCCCTACCACCAACGTAATTTGTATTGAATATAACTCTAATTTACAATTCAATAAAAAATGTGATATGAATACTGCGATTTTGTACATCATACAAATTAAACTTAAATTCATAATTTTTGAAGCACGGCTAATCAAAATTCGCTGAATGTTTAAAGGCGACCTGCAATCATAATGCATCAGAAAGCAATGCACGTTAATTAATAACAAACAATCCAAAATTGCAACTGAGAAGTGGGCGCTACCACAAAATTATTGTTTGCCACGTCAAAATACATCCAAGCAGACACATGGCTTAGGCTTTTAATTAAATTATCTATCTCTTACAAAACTAATAAACAAAGGTTTAGTAACAATTAAAAATTCTATCACAAAATTAAAATATTTACATATTATAATCATTGATTAGACCAGTTATAAAACTAAACCATTCCTACGACTTGGTAAATAGGATGTAGTTTTCAAGTGGTAACATAACATGTTAAGGATACATTCTGGGAAATTTTGGACGTTAACAAAACATTCATGAGTAACCTCCTCTCCAGGCGCTTACACTAAATATTGCTGTGGTACGTGAAAAGGTTTCATAGTTAATTTGAAGCAAATTCATTTATGTCTTACATTCCGTTATTGCCAAAATTTAAGTACAAAACGGTCACCACTTGAAACTCAGTTTATACTATGATTTCATGTTCATATCATAAGATTGGTGAGTAATTGAACACAGAGGCACACACTTTATAACGTTTATAAGGCTAAAATTTCTTTTTTTAAGTGCAGGAATAGAAGGAAGTTCTCACATTTATATGGCTGTAAAACATAAATTGAGAACCGAAAAACGAAATAAATTAATGTTTATAAATAGATATCACACTCAGACTATTTTGACAATAACTAATACCATAGTACTACAAGATTTAAATTATTGTCTCACTCCATAACTAATACGCTTTAACATTTTATATTAAAATAAAACAAGGCAACACTTAACTAAAATTCACATCTCTGGTGTACAAAACAAATTATGTACAGTATATGCTATTATAATCTTTACAATGACAGAAAAAATAATTTTCTAGATAGTTTTAACATCACAACAACAGGGATAAATATATTAAAGATATGAAAGAACAATGAAGAAAAAGGCCACTGACGCAACTGATTGGCCTCATTTTATATGTTAAAACGAGTTTCGGATCCATCCGCTAGCATAAGTGTTACTGTTCGATTATTTATCCATATTAATCTTGCTAATCTCATCGGATTTAAACGAGCCACGTCAGCGATGGGCGCGGTGCTGTATGATTTCACGCACCGTGTCTGCGACGCCCCCAGTCCGAACATACCTACAATGGAATGTCTAAGCAACGCCTCCTTTTTGTTGATGCCATTGAAGAAAAATGACACTACTTACCTGTACTGGTCTGCCAAAAACTAAGCCGATTTTCTCCGCAAGCGTAACTGACTAAAAATTTACCATCTGGACTAAATGCACACGCAGTAATTGGAGACGAGTGTGCATTAATTGATGTGCATTTACCCTGCCTTAATTCGTATAAAGTTAAACTTCCACTGTTCGACCCCACTGGAAAAGAAGAAAAATTGTTAAAAAAAAATACCACTTAACCAAATTTCAATTCCTTTGCAAACCTCCTGTTAGAAGTGGCGCAAGTTTTCAAAAAACAGAAATCCCCAACTAGTTTGTTCACGCATGCGCAAACATTGACTTTATACACTATAGACAAACGGAGAAATAGGGAAAAATGGCAGCCGCTTACTGTAGCGAATCTTTGCGTTAAATAGGCAACTTATTAAATACATTGCAATACACGTACAAATGATGACGTCGAATGGGACGACATATGAACGCAAGCAAATTTATGACGTTTCATTCGTTTAATTTTTGATTCTGTACATTTTTGTTTGAACTACTCTTATAACAGTATTACAAAGACCATTTACAAAATTTAAAGTTCTTAGCAACAATTTAACAGATATGGCCGATGCACAGCGTTTTTTCCTAATTTCAAAGGATTTGTGTAAAATTAATAGTTCCTTGGAGTCATTAAGGTTTGATGTGGTTTTCTGAGAAGCTGTTCACATCGTGGGCAATTAAACTTTTCGATCGCAAAGTAGATCAACTCACACGATTCTGAACGTCGAAGTCTGCGTCGAAGCAAATAACACCCACTCTTTATTGATGATAAAGTATACTAACTTTTTAGTTTAATTTGTTCGAACTATGCTGAATTATATCCTGTAGTGGATTTAGATGCCGAAATCCATTCTTTTAAGGTAGATATTGTGGGCAACACGATATTTTGCCTCCAGAAATTTGTGTGTTGCCAGAGACTTGTAGTATAACTTTATGACAAACTCCTTTTCGTCTTGATGCCATGGAGGTTTAGCTTTATGCAAAATTTGCGTTCTTACTAATCCGCGCTTGTCAATGTCAATACCTGTCACTGTCACTGTGCATGCACTTGTAGGTACAATAATTATTAATGACGTAATAACAACGAGAGTGGCGCTGCGACGATTTGGTGGCCCAGCTCCATACTAACATTTCCAGCTGCATTTGTATTGCCATTTTTTAAGCCTACACCGTTTGTCTATAGTGTGTAAAGTCAATGGCGCAAACTCAATTTTGAAAGTGCGCTTTGGTTTTATTATTGGAAACAAGTATCTACAATCAACTTAAGAAATGATATTTGGAATGCGCCGGTGCAGACACAGATATCATACTGTATATAATATTCAAAAGTAAAAAAATTTTTGTTAGATTGGTATGAATGTTGATTGACAGCATTTGCCATATGTTGGTTGACAAAAGAAATATTTCGCCACCGCCTTTTCTCGCGTATTCCACAGCACAGGATATTTTTTATAAGCTTCGATTAACCTTCACTTTGGCGCGTGGACGGTAGTTTACACTTTACAGTAATATAACGTTAGATTATGTTTGAATCCGCGTTAGGTTTAATTTCCTGTAGGAACAAGAGTGATACAAAGTTTGTAAACCGGTAAATTACCGTCACACGCCTGGACCTGTATTTTTCCCTCTGATCCAATGTCCAATATCGATGCGGTACTTCCGCAAGTGCGGATGCGAATATCTATCATTGAAGGGAACTTTTAATCGTAATCTTAAAACATATCTGGTCAGATGTTAAGTTAAAAGTTATTATCAGACCAAAATTGGTTTTGTGATAAACAATGCCACGTGCGAGATAAGCAACGCAGGTATCGACCAATTCGGGTGACGGAGCGGAATTTGGAGGGTCACCGAGAAACAATGATGTGGAAGTGGTTTCCCCCTAAAATAGCACGAATTAAGTATAAACTATGCTTTTTGAGACGAAGGCGGCTTTCTCGGGGTATTTTGAAAGAGCGTTAAGCCTGTGACGCTAATTTGCACCTATAGTCTAGCCGCATATATGATTTTAAAAGAAGAAAAACGTAGTCGTCTTCATGTTAACAAAGTGATGTGGAAATAAGTTGGATTTTGTGAAGAATCTGTCAGATTTGTGTGAAAGTAAATGTTTTGCCGTTCATTGCATATTTTTGTCCTGACCAGTTTATTTGGATTATTAACAGAACTGTAAGTTCTTTTTGAGTCTCTTAAATTGTTTTTTTCAATCGTCCGTTTTCCAAACGGGGTGTTCTGCATTCAAAAGGTACTGTTAGCCTTCAAATTGCCTCACAGGATTCTTTGTATTTGATTTGATTTTTATAATGTACGTTAGAATAAACTCTTATAATTTCTTTTTATCAACGCGTTACGCGTCAATTTGAATCCCAATTCGAAATCCAAGTAGAATTTAATAGGGCCTTCTTAACAGGATCGGTTGGCAAATAAAACTGAATAGAAGTCAGATTAGGAAGATCACTGGTGTCCTCACAAGACACTGGATGGTCAACTATCACCTGCACAACATTGGGCTTGTAGGAGAGCCCACGTGGAGGTTCAGTGGCGAGGCAGACGAAACTATCGAACATGTGATCTGTCACTGTGACGCCTTGATCAGAGACAGACATCAGATCCTTGGCGACAGTTATCTGAAACCAGGGAAGATGAAGCAACTTAGGCTACACAGGATCCTACCCTTTGTTGAGAGAAACAGGCTCTGAACCTAGTTCCAAAAGAAAAGGGGTAGGCACAATGGGCCTTTGGTATGCCTAAGTGCTGCCTGGTCCGGTTCCCTTTATGAATAGAATAGAACCACCAAACAATCTAAACAAAACACTGAGAGGTTCCACCCTGTATATACAACTTACGACGATACATACATTTTTGAGAGTTGGCAACCATGCAATTTCTAGGTGTGAAAAAGCAGCCTGCGCCATCTAAAAAGCAGGGACGGGGTTACGTTTCGCATCTTGTCTTGAATGGCGGTCGTGTACGCGTAACTCCAGAAATGTTTGTTGTTATTTTGTGTTATTTAATGCAGGTAGTGATTTTTACATTTCTTTATATCGTATTTGTGTTTTGTATGCCGAATTTTATATTTTTTGTTTCAATCTTTGTTTTTGAAATTTACTTGGTTTAACCGCAATGCAGAATGACATGTTTAATACCGTTATCCATTTTGTTTGTAATTGTTTACATTTTTGGTGTGATGCTTGCTTAATTTATGTTTATTGATACTTGGTCTTGTTCCTGAAGTAACATTCATATAAGTTTTAATCAGTTTATTTTAATATGTGGAAACTACAAATTCGTTTGATGTATGTATTGACTTGTTTGTAACAACAATTTTCTCCGTGAATGAAGCAGTCACGGGGGTGGTAAAAACTGTAGTCAAAATTGAGCTATGACACCTAATTCCATGATTGTCTTCGACATTCAACTGTAGGCTCAAACCCCTAACGAGGGGCGACGGTACCTATCTTGCGAGGTGAGATTATGCTAATCAAAACTCTTCGGTTTAAAATCTATGTGTGATGTATGGGTGGCGATTCAATAATTTCCACATATTTTTACGGTTAGTTAAATTTCCCTACAAGGCCATGTAATTTTCCATCAACTAAATTTCCAGGTTTTCACAATCATAATAATTACGATCATTATTAAACAAACTTTTCCCAATTTTGGTGTTTTATTTTACGTTCCTTCCCGAGTGTACTTCAAACCATGGCATTGCCTACAACTAACGTAAGGGAGCCCTGATTTAAATGTCTTATCACGTGCCACTTTTCGAATTTAAGCGGGATCTTGTTTAGTTTTGGAGGGAATAGTCATTCATGTGGCCACTTTTAAACGTTGCCGGGTTGACTTTATTTCCGTGTTCTTGTAGTGTGAAGTTAGTGTAGAACCTGGGGGTTAAGTACACTACAACACTTATCTTTCATTGCTGCGATCGCTACTGTTATGTCTAAGACACTGCAGTCTTAAATTCATGCTTATGTTTGATAATATCGAAAGCCTTTAAAGCTGTAGACCAGCAGACTGGCTTTTGAATTGCTGACTTCTCATAACTGGGGTTTGTTTTCAAACGCTCCCTACATGAATTCATGTACAAAGGGTCACATATGCATATCATTGGTATATTAAATATTTGAATTTTAGAAATCCATTTCGTTAGGTGATTTTAAAACAATTTAACAAATAATAAATGGCAGACAGACCAGATAATTAATGATAAATACAAACCTGCTATCCTCCGTGTTGCTGAACAGTGAGATACTTGGTTAAATCTGCAAACTGCAGGAAAAACATCCTGCAGGCCTTTAGTCTTTAAATGTCCAACATCTAAGCAGTGAAGAATTATGTCCATTAGCTAAAAATCACTTTGTCATCACTATATTCCAAGGTTTATGAATTTACCTCGACTAGCAATTCTGCCATTTCATTTTGCATTTTATCTATTAAAAGTTCAACGCTACGTAAAATTTCTGGTTTTGCTTTATGCAAAACAGAGTTGTTCACATTATTAACGTTTAACGCCTGCGCATTTTGCTGCATAGCGTTATACCTAGCTACTTCTCGAGCCATTGTCGTTATAAACGCAGCAGGTCTACAAAATCCAACATTAAAGAAATAGGAATTAAGCTCACCTCTAACCTAGCTGTAGCAATTAATGTTAATGCATGTCTTGCTGTTCGACATGAATCTGCTTGTGGTGTTAATGGTAAACCGTACGTCATGCTTGGCACTAACTTATCAGCTTCCGAACATAATTCCAGTAAACCTATTAAATTTTACTTTCATACAACGTTGGCGGCAAACAATTAATGCTTAATACCTAAAAGAACTTTGCTAATATCCAGATATGGCTCCCATACTGTAAAGCCTCTGCCGATTAGGTCAATTGCGGCTCGGCGAAGAGGTGTGTGAGGTGGTAACTTCATCGAAGGTGGCGCTAACAATAGATGCGATAAAGCCATAGAGGTTAATCGCGCTAAGTTATTATTCCCATAACCTAACGAATCAATAATAACCATTTAAACCACAATTCAACAACTTACCAAAACCTTCGGCGATAGAATTTTTTCGTATCTCAGAATTATCTGCCCTCTTCTTTGGATTTTCCGACATAATATCTTGACCGAATTCGGCCCCGATTACACCTAACAAAACTACAGCAGTTGTTTGTTTACGTTTCAGCTCGGCTAAACTGGACGGCTTGCGCACTTGCTCTTCCTCTTCTTCCTCAAACTCCTCCTCCTAATTAAAAAAATGTATTATCATACTATTGCAGGCAGCTTAAACAGGTACCCTTACAGCAGGTTCAGGACTGAGCACTGCACCCGTGTTTGAATTCCCATTGTTTAAACTAGGTGGCGAAACCGCTTGTTGGTTAATCGTTTCCAATTGCGTATACAAAGGCAGAAATTGCGCCCACGAATCAATCAACATTTTTCTTCCCTTTGGTCCCATCCTGCAGTGACTAGTTTACACAACTCACTCAAAATAAATACGTTTACCTTCCCAGCTCGGCCAATAAAAGAGCTTGCGCTGCTTCTCGCACCTCAACGCAGTGATGTTGCCATCGTTTCGCCATGGTTTCTACTTGTGGACGTTTGAAATTCTTAGAACCTAACTGAACGACCTGGAAATGCAAATTTGAGAAATGGTGACGAACTTAACGTACCTCACTACCTTATCTGGTAACAGTACGCAATGTAGCGCGGCTAATAATGACCACCCTTGTTTTATTTGTGCTTGCTGCTGTGTGTACAGCTCTTCATTTTCTTCGTCGGCCTTACTCCATTTGACCCTCGTTGATTGTCTAAAAGAAATTTACTTGGTCGCCTATGCTGACACCATCTTCAAAAAGTACTGAGAATGGTCGCCATTTTATGTATCGAAAACAGTTCTCATCTCCGTCACGCATTGCAAAAAAATGCCCGCTTATTTAAAACAAATCGCATCTCAGTAATGAAAAATCGTGCTACAAACGTGAGTAGTTCTACATCTTTTTTAATCATTGTTCGACAAACTATAAATGGAGACCTTCATACTACGTAAAAATGAAAGGTTTTAAACGAAATGAATTTGAAACATGAATTCAAAAGCATCAAAGATGGATCGATTAGAATTAGTCAAATGAATTATACAAGAAAACTCCTGCAAAGGTTTGGAATGGAAAACGGTAAACCAATTTCCACACCAATTATTAATGAAGGACAACAACAATCTAGGAATTGACTTTCCATATAGACAAGCAATTAGAGTACTGGTTTACCTCATGACAGGTACAAGACCAGATATTGCATATGCTATTGGAGTTGCATCTAGAACTCTTGAAAAACTGGCTCATTTCAATTGGACACAGTTGACTATGGAATAACTTTCAAACCACACTTTAAAAGTGGCTACAGTGATCAGACGAAACCAACGGGCGGTCAACTCAGAAGTAGTATGCCTGTATGCAGGCGGCTAGACAAACTAATCCGGCTGAAAAGTCGAGCTGAAAGGGACACTTGATCTGATGGTTTGTAATGAAGCGGCAATCTGGTTGGCTCAGAACCCTGAGTACCATCGAAGAACGAAATATATCAGAACGAGTACATTGTGGAATGCAAGTTCGAATTTGTGATAAAATTGAATAGACGAATTAGGCAATTATGGGATGAGGAAAAACTTTTTAGAAGCCTGATTCGTAGGAAGGCTGTTTATTTACGAGTGATAAAATATATTCAAAGGAACATTTTCGAGTCGGGGAACCGCTTTTCAAATAAAAACGGGATTAAATAAACTGACATTAGAATGATGAACAAAGACGTATCGGATCGCTAATAGTAACGACTGGTTAAAAGCAAGTTCCTCAACGTTGAGTTATTATCCGATAAATAAAATTTTGTATACACCAGCATAGAATTTAAAGACAATTAATAGATGCATTTACCTACAACAAAATCTAGTTAATCAATTGCATAAATTGATAACAACACAGCAGAACATTGGCTTATTATTCCTGTGCATAATCACGATCTCAAGTATTAATCTCGCGAAATTGAAGCCGATTTGCATGGATTCGCGATTCTTACGAACCACCAAACATTACATGCATCACGAAGATAGCGTTGCTGGGGTGGTGCAAAAAGTCAATTGTACAATCGAAGCGATCTGTTTCCATATTTCTAGACGAAGCAACATTTTCTAAGGAGAGATAACATCAATTTGATACCAGAACCCACATCAATAGCTGTAAGTTATATTAAATTTTTTGATTTGTATAAAGTAGTGGTCGGTTGTAGGAATTTGCATAAGGAATACTGTTCGAAGTAACTTTAATATTCCTAAAGGAATCGACCCGTGAAAATTATTCGCATGAAACAGATTTGACCTGGAATTTGCATTTCATTTCTTTTGGTTGGGTTACAACTTTGTTTAACATTCAGAGGTACCGGTAATTTATCATGTGGTAAAGATGAAATTTAGATAAGGAGCAAATTGGCGTGTGATCACTATTTTACATCCAGAAACATGTAAGGAAAAATGGAATTTGATCCCCTTTGTTTTATTAATATATTCAATCAACTAAAGCCACATACGTATTCATTACTAACAGTTCAATGAAATCAAAGCAGATTTTGAATTTCAGGTTTTAAGAGGAGAGAAAGGGCCAAACGTCTGTAAGGTAAGGGGTATAACCATATAAGAACATTTTTTATTACTGAGTTAACCATGGGTAAAATAAAAATTAATTATCATATTGAAATTAGTGCCATAAAGGTTCAATTTTATTTCATGCGAGTCAGGGCTTAAATCCTTGTAATTGTAACTAAGCCTTTAGACGCTTCTCTATTTTAAGAGATAGAGAAAAACACATAGGCACGCTTTGTTTTCAGAATTTTCTGATTTTTTTGATACCGTTTTCGATATATACCATTTAAACTTTTGGGGACAATTCCGCATTTTTGTTTTGAAATGCCAGTTTCGGGCCTTCCTGCGATTGCATGAAACTAAATCTAATCTATGTATGTATATTTTACCCCAAAGCTCTTTTTAGCGCATTTTTTAAGAATTAAGAAGAAAGTGCTATTGTTTTCGTTTTGTCCGTCCGGACCCACTTCTGTCGTTTCGAACTACTTCTAGGGGAATGGTCCTAGAGTCCTGGAATTTTTTGCAGTAGGTAGCCTATACCTTGAAGGTGTGCCAGATGGCCATCAAATTTCGCTGTCTAAAAGGGGGCCCCCCCCCCACGAATTATTTCCTGAGATGCTGTTTTTGAAAGTAAAACGTGCATAACTTTTACATACGACAACCAACTGGTCTCAGATTTTGCATACGAAAATGGGGGGGGGGGGGGGGGTTAAACACATTTCTACCCTTCATAGTATTCTAATGAAAGGTCTCATCGAAATATGCGCATAATTTATACTTGTTTTATCTTCTGGAATACAGCTGCATGTTTATGTCTATGGGAAATAGATCTATTAAAATATTCTTTTTTGTTTTGTTTCAAAGGAAGAAAAGGAGCATGTACCAACGGTAGCCGAAGCTTGGTTTTACTTACACATTTCTAAACAACCATTCTTAATACCTTCTGATAAGAGTTGCAGCCTGTTACTCACTTACCTATGTAACTTCCTATTACGCTCTTGCTCTAATATAAACGTTGCATTACTCATGGACATAAGTGTGTGGCTAACGGCAATTATGGCTAACAGATGGTTACTAGTCAGTGTGGTACTTAGTTCCCAATGAGTTTTGCAGGTAAATATTCGCGTAAGTTGCTCTCTATATACAAGCTCAAGAGGTAAATTGTCGGTCAGACCTTGATCATCCACAGCAGTATCGTTATTTAAAGGTATCGTATTATGCCACGTTGGAAGAAACAGCGACATATAATTAGCTTTTGAGAGGACACCAAACGAAATCGGCACCTGCAACACCAGATTAACTAAACCGTATTCAATCACTTTGTGAGGGCAACCATAGGTCTTAGCAGTCCCAACTTAGCCTGGCACACTATGTCCAAATCGTTATCCATACCCCAAGCATGCAACAGCGATAGAAGTAATTGAGCTATTTCCATGCCATGACTAGCTTCAATAGGACCCAAACTTTTGTTATTTACCCGTGAATTTGAATCGATTAAATCTAGAAAGATAAAGGAATAGTAAGTTTATGACGTGATGTTAATAAAAAAATAACTTAAAAGACCCTCAGTGTTATTATATAATTTTAGTGCAGCCAAAAAAAAAAGATAAACGTAAAACAATTAAGGATAGAAGTAGACTGTTCTTACCCTTAGACGAGTGTTCGATTCCTTGTTTTAATACACTCTCAGCCTTTGCTTGTATTTTAGTATGTACAGTTTCAGCACCTTCTTTCATTTTTGCTAATATTCCTATTACAAAAGATCACTCGATGAGCAAGAATGCCATGTCAAAGTTTATAACATGCACATCAGACAGTGATCAACTCATGGAGTAAAAAATAAAACAAAGTGGCTTACGTAGCGTACTAATTGTGCACTAAGGAAATGCCATACGAGTTAGTACAGGCATTTAGCACTCTTGTCACTCGAAAGCTTATTCTAAAAATTAACTCTGAACAATGAAAAGTTCAGATACCCAACTTAAATTAAACATAGTTTGGCGTGTATTGTAGACAATTCACTTTTTTACTACAAATTCGTAATATTGTATCCGTGTCCTGTGCCATTTAGATACTTCAAAGAAATTGTGGACGTCTTCACTGAAGCACTATACAAATGCTTGCTATTTGCAAACAGTTTAAGATAGACATATGCCGTTGTGAGAAACCAGATCAGTTTGCAATCAATTTAACGTTTAAACAGTAATGAGAACATAAAACACACATATTATGAGAGATTCCAGAGAAAGCGTTTCAACAAAAATAATGTTCCAAAAAGCATACAACAACCAATTCAGATGACGTCCACTATCACTCACAAAACTATATGGTTTTTGTTTCCCAAAGTATTAAAATTCCACTGTCACATGATATATTCACTTTGTCTTCCCGCTTATTTCTTAGTTTTTCCACTTCATTGATAACCTTTTTCTCATCCAAGGTGACGCTCTTAATCAAAGGAAACCTTCTATTAAAGTGGGGTATCAGAACTTTTTTCAATCACTATCCCTAACAATTAAAATAAAACATGTACATACATTAAGGTGCAATGAAACAGCCAATAAGCTTGTAAAGAAGTTGCGAGTACATATTTCCTCGCTTACCATATCAAGTGCGTAAACAATTTTGGTCCTTTTAAAAAGCAAGATTCATGCTAGCGTCTACTACAAGAGTCTACCAAACGGTTAATCAAAGCACACAGAAATAGATAACTTTAATTACCATGTTTATCTTTTTCCTTAATTATACGTTCCACATTTTCTGCCTTATCTTTCACTTTTCCAAAAAAATCTATACAAAAACACAAATTATTTTTTTGGCATACTCCCAATAAAATTAGATTCAAATTTGTCTACTACTTAAACAGTATTGTTATTGTGTAGAACGTTCTCTTTGACGACTCTGGACAGACCGTGATAAATTACTCACCTTGAATGTGAAATAAGTTCATTAAAAAAAATCGGCTTACCAACGATCTTTTTATGAGCATCAGGACTAGCACTGTGAGTTAACGAAGCCACCTTGAGATATTCCGACTGTGAAATTAAACCGGCGGCTTCCAAGCTTCCCGGCGACATTGCCGAATATTCTTCGCTTAATAATTCTATGACTAATGCTTCGATGTCGAAGAACAGTATGTGACTTTCCGGATCTACATTAACACTCTAAATTAACCGTTTCAACACTTATCAATTTTACCCTTCGGATTTGTTCTTAAACCTTGTACGACTAGTGGCGCATGATGTCCTAACTTCATATGCGGATCATCATTATTCGCGTGAGCACCTAATTGTTGGAGTTGATGGAGACCTCTCTGAGTTGCATGACGAATTGCAGATAAATTTCGATGCCTTAACCCTCTGCAAAATTAAGACTTGCTAGTAACACGCTGTATTTTACTTGTGTTAAAAATCAGGTTTTATTTTATTAAATGAGAACATTTTTATTCAAAGTGGCATTTGCCTTAGTTTGCGCACACGCCATCAATTATGTTTTTAGGGAATATTCTAATAACAACGTATTAACAAAAAAACTCATTTTAAATCACAATAAACGTTGGAATTACGTGTTTATGTTAGACTGATCAATGTATTTCACAAAAAATAAATAAGACCAAAAACCTTTATTCTGCGTTCCCACCTCCAGATGCAATATGGGGTCTTATGGACTAAATTACAGTGACTTTATAGAAAGACTAAATGCCTCTCTTACTAATTTGAGTAATTCTTTGATAACGCTATCTTTGTTCACCGCAATGATGTCATGATTGAATTGAAGTATTAAAAGACAACATAGGGACCTATTCTTTAACGCGTAACGATGTTGTTATACAACGGTTATCATTTGGAAGCGACTTTCTCTATTCTGGATGACATATAACATATACGGAATATAGATGTTCTTCTGCGCCAAAAGTTGTATAACCCAAAAATGCCATCGAGTTTACTAAGAAAAAGTAAGCAACTTATTACTAATTTTATTCATTATTTTGAACAAGAAAGAGATAATAGTAGTCAGCTTTTACCAGTCGCAGCAGTAAGCGAGGTGAGTGGTTTAGTAACATAAGAATCCGTGTACATACATAGTTTCTTTTCACAGAAAGTTCGGATGCATTAAATATTAGATTGCGAACAGTGACTTCTATTTCACAAATTTCTAAATAGAAAATCCTAAAAAACAAGGCTATGTAAGACACTGCTAGCGATGCTGATGGTTTCACACACGCAGCAATTGCAAAGATTACATTATACAACACATCATAGGAATTTCAATAATGATTTTTTAATTTCCGATTATGGGGTTCGCTAATTATTTTAGAGATAGTCTATTTAGGTTTTTTGTCGAAAAAAAAAAAACGAATCCATGCATACTATAGCTTTTAATTTTTTGAATTTTGAAACTAAAAAAATTTCATAACGAAAACTGTCGGTCTTAAGAAAATCAGTGATGCCATGGCAGCTTAAGGTCAAGCATATACAGGGTGATTCCTATAGTACCTGCCACCGTTTGGGAGCGTGTAGGTGGTGCGTAGGGGAGTATTTTGATATAGGACACTTGGGGTCGGAAATCTAAAATAAGGGTGCCAGAGCCAAATTTACCTTCTGGAATTTCGCGCCTGTAGGTAGGCAACCCAACCGGCCGGCGGTGCACACGGAGCGATCTCAGGCGGCGATGTGTGGCTGACACTTGATCAGAATTTTGTTTAAACCCACGAAATCCCGTCTGCAACGACGCGTATCAAGTGAATAATCACATGTGTGGCTGACACTTGATCAGAATTTTGTTTAAACCCACGAAATCCCGTCTGCAACGACGCGTATCAAGTGAATAACACTATGGCAATAGTATAATAATAGTTGGCTAGATGTAGGAAGTGCATTGAGAACAACGGTGGCCACGTTGAACACTTGTAAACGTTATTGCTTTTGACTGTCGTTTTCCCTCCTTCCCTCCCATGTCGCTTCCTCGCGCTAACTCGCTCTGCATCGCTCCGCGCGAAACGTCGGTCGTTTGGGTTGCCTACATACAGGCGTGAAATTCCAGAAGATAAATTTGGTTCTGGCGCCCTTATTTTAGATTTCCGACCCCAAGTGTCCTATATCAAAATACTCCCCTAAGGCACCCCCTATACGCTCCCAAACGGTGGCAGGTACTATAGGAATCACCCTGTATATNTGGGAGCGTGTAGGTGGTGCGTAGGGGAGTATTTTGATATAGGACACTTGGGGTCGGAAATCTAAAATAAGGGTGCCAGAGCCAAATTTACCTTCTGGAATTTCGCGCCTGTAGGTAGGCAACCCAACCGGCCGGCGGTGCACACGGAGCGATCTCAGGCGGCGATGTGTGGCTGACACTTGATCAGAATTTTGTTTAAACCCACGAAATCCCGTCTGCAACGACGCGTATCAAGTGAATAAACACTATGGCAATAGTATAATAATAGTTGGCTAGATGTAGAAAGTGCATTGAGAACAACGGTGGCCACGTTGAACACTTGTAAACGTTATTGCTTTTGACTGTCGTTTTCCCTCCTTCCCTCCCATATCGCTTCCTCGCGCTAACTCGCTCTGCATCGCTCCGCGCGAAACGTCGGTCGGTTGGGTTGCCTACATACAGGCGTGAAATTCCAGAAGATAAATTTGGTTCTGGCGCCCTTATTTTGGATTTCCGACCCAAGTGTCCTATATGAAAAGACTTCCCCTAGGCACCCCCTATACGCTCCCAAACGGTGGCAGGTACTATAGGAATCACCCTGTATATGTATATGTCAAGAATCCCACAAAATGCCAAAGAAGGCGCCAGCATTTTTTGATAGTGATCGATTCATATTCAAAATGGCTGGAAGTGAGACAAGTGCCTTAGTTATGCCGGCGGCAACCATGAAATTATTTTAGTTTAATCATAATTCAGTTACCACATTGTTAAATCTTGTTCAAAGAGAAGTAAATAAGTTTTACTTCACAGATAGGTCAATATTGAAGTATACTAATTTCTAACTGAAGATCTTCTGCAGGGGCACCTCTAAAAAATCATGCGGGTCACTCTGTAATTGGACGCAAGCCTGTTGAGGGCCCAGAACAAGAGAGGAATAAACAGTTAACTGCATCTTGAATCAATAAAATGAGAATCACCTAGGGCTGTATCTCCGATATGACCCTAGTCCAGTTTCTAAGAGTTTCAAGAGGGGGGAAACGTAGCAAAATCTCTAGAACCATAGCAAGGCGCCATTAAGTTGCCACCAAGTCGATAAAGAATTAATCACTGTCCATAAGGAACAAAGGCAGATGTGAATCATTCTTTCTGCGATATGTTTTCTAGGTTTTTTGAGAAAATTTATTAGTAGAGGAACTCCATAGGGGATTTAGTCGAATGCGTCATATTACAATAAGGTGGGGTGATTACGTGTTGAAAAGTGTGCATTTCAAAAATCTAACGATTTGAACATGACGGAAGGGAATGGAAAGGTTATTATGCAATTAACAAAAATTTAATATTTACACCAAGTGCCGGTCATAAGTGTCTCTTTTTCTTTGGATTTGTGTTAATTTAGTAATGAATCATATGGATCACAGGTCACGAAGTGCCGATCGTGAATTTGCAGACTGGTCATTCACAAGATATAAGTCGGTCCTGCATCGCAGGAAGTGGTGACTTTCAGGTTTCCAAGGGTTCAAGTTAAGCTAAGTAGAAGCCTGGTACTGAGTAAGTAGACTGGCTGCCAACTTACTTTGTCCAAGTGTAAAATTTTATGAAAATAAACATGGCGTCAAGTAAAGACAATGGCGAAAACTGTAAAGGAAAAAGCAAAACAAGTTGGATCGTACTCCATTCGTCGAGCTACTTACGCGCGTTTTTGTGTGACGGATCCGCTTCCCAAATGTAATCTGCATGCAAAGAATTGTGACACAAAGCTAATGCTTGAAACCCGAGCTTTCTACGATGATTCGAGTTAGTATACTTAAAAAACCTTTGCAGCCAACCGACCGACCGATGGACCGAACAGCCAAAGTGAATTACAGGGTCCTGCAAGAGTGCGTCGTAGTAGCTCAAACCTGGCAAAAAATATTACAAAAACCTTTGGTGCAAATGTCAACCATAGATGGTTGCGCATCTACAGAAACTACTTTTGAATGTACAGGGTATCCCATTTTTACGGTGTCAATAGAAAAGTGATTTTGTTAAACTCAACACCCTGTGTATTTTTAGTTGTTTCGATGTCATTTCTTAACCTCTGCATGGAAACCTATTCACTTTTTGTTTTTTTTTTTGGAAATATTACCAAATTACAAGTATTATTTTTTTTTTCAAATAATTGCCCAAAAGCAAGCTCCCGACTTTGATTTCCAAGTTTAGAAATACATTTGATCAATAATGTTAATAATCTGAATAAAAGGAAACACTTTGGTAATGATAAAGTTGCATTTAGTGCCACAGAGTGTTCACAAAAAAATAGTAGTTTCCTGATTTTAAACTGTCATAACTATTTTTTTTTTAAATGGAACTACCACTATTTTATTTCTTTATTCGATAGTCTTTTGTGTCCTGTTCAAATTTTATAAGGGGTGTCCTGTGCCTAAACTCCGTAGTTTTTTTATGTTATTCAATATTTTTCACAAAAATAGTTACACATTAATTACATGTTTATAAACCGGTTAGACTGTGATAATAAAAAACAAGACAGAATAGAAAAATAAAATAGTGGTAGTTCCATTTGAAAAAAAATAGTTATAACACTTTGAAATTTGGAAACTTTACAATTTTTTGTGAACACCCTATACTACTAAATCCAATTTTCTCATTACCAAAGTGAAACACTTTCATTCTGATTAACATTATTGATCAAATGTATTTCTTAACTTAACTAATTGAAACAACTAAAAATACACAGGGTGTTCCATTAAAAAAAAAATCAGTTGTCTATTAACACCGTAAAGGTGTACATTTAAAAATAATTTTTGTAGATGCGCAACTGTGTATAGTTGACTGTGCACAAGGTTTTTTGATATCAGGTATGAGCTAGGAAAGGCGGACGCACTGTTGCAGGACCATGTATTAGCGCTACTTTTTTCCAAAAACGCGCTAAAAATTAAAAAGTGGACTGATAGGGAGAATATGACATTTATGGAATTTGTAGTGTTCGAAAACAGCAACCGTTGTAACGAAGAGTAATTTCCAATTGCAGTTTGCAGGTAAAGCAGCTCGCATGTTTGTATCATATTTTTTTAATTTTCTGCCTCCCAGCAGTCCTTTAAATTGCCCCGCTGTTACCCATAAATGGTTCTTGTAAGCTGCTGTATCCTCTATTGCTCTATTGAAAATTGGAAAAAGCCCTAAGTGTCTCACGCTCATGAATCCATATCCTGGTGCAAAACCTGTTCCTTCTCTTTTCCGATTTTTTTTATCAATTGAAATTCTTGTATAAACATATATCTGCAACTAGTACAGAACCAAATCGACATTTTAACTATCTATCCAAGCATTCCAAGCACACTGTCTAAGTGCACTTGGAACGTGTCAACTGGGCTTTACAAATATTAAAGTTGATGATTTCATGGTTCCTTCCCATACCTTTTTGAGTTTTTTTACAAAGTTTACCTAAACAGCACAGTAACCAAATCGTATAATCTCACCGAAATGCTTAAACAAACAAATACTTAAAATGTAATGCTCGTACCATTAAAGATATTGTACCACTGGCTTGTGTAAAATTGAAATTTAAATAAATCCTTTAATTAATTTAGAAGGTACCTTCGTTACGCGTAGTTAACACAGTTTAGTTCAGTTTCAGTGGATTAATGTTAGGTGCTCAACTTCCATAAAATAATGTTTTTTTTCCATATACAAAACTAAATGCACCTCTTGCATGGTCCATAGTAATTGAACCGAAAGAAATATATATCCGATAATGTATCATTTTACGCTATGCTCAAGTTTATGTTTAAACATAAATTGTTTACACTCACCTACTTTTCCTAAATCCTTTACACGTTTACTTAGCATTAAGTGAACTGTAATAACGAGAGTATCACGGTTTCATTAAGTTTCCACATCCTAAATTCAAGTTAACTCATCTGTAAGGATAAATAGTTTCAAACATGGCTAGACTTCTAATTTCAGTTTAAAATATGGACTTTTTCCTCCCCACTCGATAATCGTCACGCTCGTACGGTTTAAATATTAACAAAAAGGAACTGCTACCCAAATTCCAAAGTGCTACAAAACGTCCGTCGTTTTGACATGAAAGTAATGGTGGCTCTGGAGATTGCAGTCGCTTATTGACTGCTGCTAAATACTGTGATCGTTGATGTTACGAAAAAACAATTAAACATTTTTAATGTTTCCTTTATGTCCAAATAATAATGTCCACCTTATTAGTAAAATATTGCATCATAGACAACCTGTTACAAATAACTACCTAAACATTTGTTTAGTAATTGGTCAATCAAATTCGTTGATGTATTCTCTTCCATTGATTGCATGATGCTATGTAAACATACTTAGTGATGACGTCATAATATACCGATGACGCACGAGCAAACTAAGGAAAATCCTATTTACGTTCTAGGTTTAGGTTGTTGTTTATTAAATTTTGTGTTTTTGTGTATAATTGTGAACTGAGAATAAACAAGTGTCAAAGGTTTTCTTTTTGAAGAGTAGTTTTAATATGAGAAAACTTACCTAAAGAAATGAACTGCAGGATTGGCAAGACCTACTTCAGAAGAGGTATTATAACTAGACTCGTTTTCATCACAAGCATACAAAACTTCTTCCGCAGCTATACCTGCAATCGCAAAATAACAGCTTCACAATCAACGTGACTAATATTACCTTGTAATACCCTATCTAAATGCCCTGTTTCCATTTGCCAAACGTAGACAGTGCCATCAGAACAACCAATGATCATAAAGTCGTCTAATGGCCTCCATTTTATCGTAGTGACAGGAAACAAGTGTCTAGAAGCCAAGCATACACATTTTCTTTCTGTCAAACTTAATAATGTTACCGAATGATCAGAAGCGACAGAACAAATACACTTCTGTATTCTTGTCTACAATGTAATAATAGTAATGTCGGCTACGATTAAAATCGGTAGCAACTTACGCTACAAGCATTAGGAGGAACAAGAAGTTGAGTTATCTCGCCGGCATGAACACAAAATCGATGTAACAAATGGCCTCCGTATAGGTCCCATAAACAGACAGCAAAGTCGACACCGCCCGAAATTAAATGATTTTTATCGTACCTCGAATTCTCACGAAACGGATATAGTAGGCAATTAACTCGGCCTCCGTGTCCTGTTAACACCTGGTGAGGAGGCCATCCTGAAAACAGCAATCAAACGTCTAAAAATACACCCGAGTATAACGTACCATCGTATTGTTGGTGGTTTCCATGCAACAACTGAAGCATCACGGTTTGTGTTGCCGGAACAATAATAATACTACCATCTTCCCTTCCAACTACCAACCTACTTTGGAGCGGTAAATAAATGCTGGCGGTTAATTTTATCACTAAAAAAGTTGAGGTAGAGTGCATTGTCACGATACAAATATCCTACCTTGTTTTTCTGATTTTTCAAGCTGATCTAAAATACCAACTGGATTTGGATTAATACTGGCCCATGCTTCGGACAAACTAGTTGTAAATGACGCATTCATCTGAAGTGGTTGTGGAGTTTGTTGCTCTTGAATTTTACGCATCTCTGCGGGCGAAATATCTGGAATATTCCAAACCAAAACGTAACCTTCCGAATCGCCTCGCAGTAAGTAACGAAACGATGTCCCATGCTGTTGAGTTGTAACGAATCTCATTGCTGGAGGACATGATAAAAGCTAATAAAATACACATTCTTAGATCTGATACACGAGCATACAGTTGAGAAACTACCTTATTATCGGGTTGACTTAAAATACAATACAAAAATGGACTATCGGATTCGAGCGTTGGACTGTGAAAATTTTTGTTATCTGGAATGCTGCTGCAAGAAAAAAAAACTTGTTAACATTTGGCAAAAGATTCAGATTAACACGTTCGCCGCCAAGATTACACTAATTTACTAATGAATTAATCACAGCACAAGTCTTTTCTTGAATATGTACACTAATCTATCATTTCATGACTGACGACATTCGACAAACTAAGCATGCCTTCACTGAAATCATTGAAGTATTGGAGGCGGCGAATGTGATAATAAACCGATGAAGCTTTATTCAACATTAAGTGGCATGTCTGTACAATGTAATCATTATGTTGGTGCAAAGCGAAGGACCTAAGCAGTTAAGTTTCAGAGTTATCCAAGCCTCACAAAACCCAGTAGTCACAAGGATATTAATGAGTTGGAGCAATAGACGGCAGATGGCTGTATTTCTAAAAGCAATAAAGATGGATTTCAAAGTAATTGTTTTATATAGGTAATGTGGGCGACACAAATGCTGGACATTTTTGTAGTTTCATAATTGCAACACGCATTAAATTTCAACGTTTTCGATACATCATTCTGTCTAAGTAAAAAAATAATCCGAAGCTCTGTTTTTATTACTTTCTGAGATATACTCGCCGCTCTCGCGCCCGCTACTCTTAATTATTTATTGTTTATTCTCCTCAACAATGGCACTACTCCCACATTTATTATCTGTTATTCTTTATTTGGAATAATGTGGTTTACAAAATTCTAAGAATTTTCTTTTAATCTACTATACACTTTATCGTTCGTAGTGGTTGATGAAATCAATGGATGGTTTTTCTGAGATTCCGTCTGTTAAACGATTTAGTTTTATTATTTTTTTGTGAATGTGGTTCACTCCTTCCCTTCGCAATCATTGTAGCTTACAAGATCTGTTTGTGTTCATGTTTATTTTCACTAATCTCATGTGTTTCAAGTCTATGAAACAGAAAATAGAGTAACTTCCCATTGTCATCATCCTGACATCTGAAAATATTTCATTCGGAAATACGTAATACAGACAAGTTTATAACACTCTTCCATTGCTATTGCTTGCCAATTGTATTCAAAGAACCGAACGTCTGATTGTCCAATCTTCGCTGCAGCAGTCTTGGAAAGTTCTTCCTTTTGAAACTACAATCATTTACTCTTAGTGGCGCCAAAATCCGCATCAAATCCATTAACAGATTTTATTTTATAATGTTATTTCTGTAATAATTGTTCATTTGCTAATTAATGATATAATCGGGAACACTGCAAAGCTACATTATTGGCGGAAACCGTAATTACTATGGCAAAATAAAACACAATCACATTTAAATTATTTGGGTGTTTTGGTTTTGCAATTAGATGATATTTAATACACCTATTATTCATTTTCAACTACACTGCAGTCCCACCCCCAGATACAGTATGGAGTTTCGCAGACTAAGGCCTCTCTTACTAATTTGCGTCATTCTTCGATAACGCTATCCTTGTTCCTCACTGCTATGATGCCAAACTGACATGATTGAATTGAATTATTAAAACACAACATAATCTCCTTGTGATGTCATTGTCACGTTTGGCAAGCATGTACTGTATGTCCATAAGCATCATACTGCATCTGAAGGTGCGAACGCGCTATAGGAAGTTTTGGCTATCAAGAAGAATCAAGTGACAACCTTTTACCATTAAATTTATAATTTAAATTCAATGCTTTAACCTACGTTTTCACTGTAAAAAACACATTTTTAAAATGTAACAAACAAAATAAAAAAAAAGTGTGCAAATGCAGTGCATTAACACAACAAATCACACAAAACTTGACACCACACATATCATAAGCAAAAAATGCGGATAAATTATAAATGCGAATAGCAAAGTGTCATTTTATCAATAAAATTCGATTGCCTCTCATAAATCGTTTACTTTATGTGCTCAAAGTAATTTGTATAATTAAATACAAGTGCAAAGTTAAATATGTAGTTGATAACGTATAAGAAGATCAAATGCTAATATAGTAGTATGGTAGGTGCAAGCCAAGAATCTCTTCCAAATAATAGGTTTCCATCATTTTATCCGTTTTTATACCCTCCAATAAAGACACCTTTGTATTTTCCCATTTAAATTAATTCGCTATACTTCATTCATTATAAGAAAGCGGTAGATGGCGCTGTGTTTGAAGATAAACACACATAGGAAAAATATAAAACGGCACCAAATTATTGTAAAGTAGAAATATTCGGCACTGCAAACAGGAATAAATCTGTGACATTAACAGCTAATGACACCTCGGCAATAAAGTTGGCAACATAAACTACCACCTTACAAAATTCGCCAGTCGTTTTATGTTTCATTGTAATATTGGCTTGTTTTAACCAATCACAGTGAAGGTCAAAACTTCCCTATGCTTTCTACCGCTACCTTCTTCAAACGAATATAGTATAGTAGAATACATTAAGATTGCCTTCTGAAAAGTTGGTATTTGAGATTATTGTTGTACAACTAGTGCCCCTACATACAAGGTGGTTCAAATTCGTGGCTCATCATTAGGATCTTCATAATATAAATATATAAATATGCCGTAATCATGATAAGGAGCATGAGACAATAATATAGTAAGATACTCTCAACTAAACACTAGTGAAGCAGGAATCTCAATCGACAAGTTTTCCCGGCAGTTGCCGATGTCCTATTCGATCTGCGCCGTTATTCGCCATGGTATAGCCCCCGAATTTTTGTGAATTTTGTTGAATTTGAAATGTCTGCCAATTTTCATGAATTTTTGTAAATTTTCTTGAATTTTTGTAAAAGTTCTTGAATTTTTGTAAATTTTCTTGAATTTTTGTAAATTTTCTTGAATTTCTATTGAATTTTCTTGAATTGTTGTAAATTTTCTAGAATTTTTGTTGTATTTTGTAAGTGTTATTCTTTTATTGTATAAATAATTCGTTATAAACAAAACTCGTTAACGTTGTTTAAATTTAATAAAACGTTACAATACAAACAAAATCACCATTATTCTAAGTTATTTACAAAATCACAGACAGGTTTAGAGTAAATAAGAGATCCTTGCTGAAATAATGGAGACGAAAGGGTACAAATATAATTATCTTCAATAGAAACAAATTCATGGGTGGACGACGCGTGCTGCAGGGTACCTGTTGTCCTACCCTCTATTCCATCTGGGACGGCAGTGGGCGCGCTTGACAGAGAATAGGCGCGTTCTCGGCTAACTCCTGATAGATATCAGGATAACGAAAATAAATGTCAAGATGCCTAACGTATTAAATCACCTAAAGTTTAATCCTCTTATATCCCCTTCATCACTGTCATTTTATCACACAAGTTTGGCAAATTTCAAAAATTCTGTTCGATAAAAATTGCGCTAAAGGACGTTAATTTCGCTACTAATATCGCACTTTACTATTATTCTATTACGATTACGATCGCAAACTAGCTTCTCTTCTGGTCTTACTTTTAAGCGCCGCGCTGCTTCGGAGATATATTAATTTGTAGTTGTAGGCATTTAAAAGAGGCATCAGAGGCGAAAATAGGGCCCCGCAGCACAGCCAAAGGGGCGCCCACATATGAGATAGAATCTCTTTCCCGAATTATCTATCTACTATTTAAAAAATGCAACTGAAGAATATTTTATAATTTTACATCAGCGAAAAATTGAGGTTTTTAGGCCTGTGACAATACAAGCATTCATTCTTATTTAGGTACCTTATCGCATATCTACACATTGCAGCGGCAGACGTAAATTAGCTCGTAAATTAGTCATCTTCCGAACCGACCTCGACATATTTATATATTAAAGCTATTTCCTGGCTTTCTGATTTTCTGCAACTTTTCGAAGTATTTTACGCCCTCAATAAAGCTACACCCTGTTTGCAAAACGTCCTAAATTTTTCCTTGTGAAAAGTTTTTATTTTTATTATTTTCTTTCCAGTTTGGTCTTTTAATGTGGCGTGTCAACTATCAGCCGTGAATGAGACGCGTATCTGCAGTAATTTTAATCTTTTGTGTTTCACGTTTTACGAAATTGTCTTCAAAGTTTAATGCAGGCAGTGAGACCAGCAGGCTGAATTTTTCTTTTGCAGTTTCTGGAATTTTTTGAATTCTCTTGAATTTTTTGAATTTTTTTGAATTTTTTTAATTTTATTGAATTTTCTTAAATTCTTCTAAATTTTCTGCATTTTTTTGAATTTTTCAGAATTTTTTTGAATTTGAATTTTTGTGCACACATTTTATAGTTGTTTCCCCCTCGCCGCGACCTGTAGCTTAAATGGGGGAGGCAAAGTTACCCCTTTTTGTGACTAAAAAAACGTATTTCAAATGTTTTAAAAACCTTTGAAAATTACAACTGAGGTATCATTGAAAAACTGAAAATGTCAAATTTCGTTTTCATTTTCCCTAACTTAAATGGTCAGAAATGGATGGTTCCCATTAGCACCTTTTAAGGTGTCTGTCCATTACAACGTACCGTAATACCAATGTGTCAAGAAAAAAAGAAAAGTGTGAGGCTACGCCCATTTGACTGTTTCGCCACCGACATTCTGGTGGGCATAGTAGTCCATGACGCATCACACTACTTTTACGTAAATGTACAACAAAAAATGTTAAAATCAAATGTTTTACATTCATTTTTTTCAACAAAACATCCTCGGGTACCTAGATCTTTCTGAATCAACATGGCTATGATGATGCATTCAAATGAATTTCTTTTTTTGTCCTCTATCTCATGCCGTAAAAAGCCAATATGGCTTCCATAAGAAATAAGAAAGTACATAGTCGCCTGTAGCTTCTACATCTAGGATAATATAGAATTTCTGAAAACAGATTCAGATTATCCTAAAAAAAGTGCCCATGGAAGGTGCTAACGAAAACCGTCTATTTCCGATCGTTTAAGCTAGGGAAAGTGAAAACGAAATTTGACATTTTCACTTTTGCTGTGATATCTCAGTTTGATATTTTGAAAGATTTTTCACAAATTTGAAAGGCGTTTTTTAACCACAAAAAGGGACACGTTTGCCCCCATTTAACTGACACTGTATTCCTCATCGTTGAGATCCCAATGGTGAGTCACGAAGTTGGGCCACTCTGTATATAATAGTCCTATAAGCACTTTTAGAACGAGTGCAGAACAAAAAAACCCTTCTGCTTTGGGTTCCTCCTCTAATCAGTCTGTTGAGCCTATATTTATTTGTTCCCGAGTTTCATGACAAGCCACAAATTTTGAGGTTAGACATGGCGGCAAAGCAGCGAGATTTAGAATTAGGTTAAGAGCAGCTTTATGAGCTATGGGCATAATATGTCTGACAGCATAGATACCATGGTCTGCTGATTTGTGACAGCACCAGACTGGACAACCAGCCGTGATACTGGCGAAATTAAGTGAAAGAATGCAGTTGACCAGAATAACGTCAGCAATAATGTTACAAAAACACCAATAAACCACAATACTATATTAATAGAGAATGCAATGCTGTACCATCAGCAAACAACTGAGAAAGTAAAAATTTGGCTCTATTTGCATTACAAGTAAAAGTATGAGCTCTGATGAGTTTCCCTCATCATTATTCATTAGGAAGCGTTTGTTTTTACGAATCTCTAAATTTACTATTTACTTGCTTAACTAGGCTTCATCCGACGCACATAATCTGAATCTTATTGAGCACTTAACCTTGGCTCCAAATCTCGTTACTGTTATCTCTTATGTTAGTGGAGGGCTAGAGTCCCGCAGTAATGCGCTTCGATGGGAAAAGAGTCAAGACTGATGAGTGAGGACTTCTTTCTTACTTTAAACTCACCTACATTGTATAACACAACAGTTTCAAATATACAACTTCCATTTATTAGGTGTAACAGACGACCGTCAGGACGCCTGTTGTAATTCAAAAGGACAAAGTGTAGAAGAGATAAGTAAATTATTGTGCAATTATAGTTGTATCAGCTGCAAAGATTAATCAAAGTCAGTATATTGGAAATTGTAGGCCCTATGGTATGGTATGGATTCAATCTGGCCGGACGAGAGGAACAATAACTTTTAGATTGTCTCTGATTTAAGTAACAAAAAATGTTTATCTTACGTCAAAATTGTAAAGTAAGAAAATCCCTGGTGCTGTGGAACCGTAATTGAGGTTAAAAAATGAGATTGGTGAAAAAGAATTGAAAATTTATTAACGATCAATTTGAAATTCAGTTCGGGTATCTAAAATTTACCATGCAATTTTCAAAAACCAAAATTTCAGTTGAATACAACATGTTTTAGGTAAAAATAGATATATGAAGGGATACCTCTAGGCTATTGCAACACGTGACACAACAAACACATATACACACATACGCAAAAAAACACATAAACACTGTATACCTAACCTATTGACAACCTTTCCGCGAAGTTTGCTAAAATTCAACAAAAAAATAACAATTAGTGTGCAATAACAATTTTTAGAAAAATAATATCATTATAATAAGAGCGATTCTAGAGAGAGTAGAGTTTTGTGGACGTAAAATGAAAAGTGCAAAAGAAGCAAAGTAGGAAAAAGTTGAAAATGTAAGGAGAGTGTGTTGAGAATGGAGAACAACATCAATAACAATGTACTTACTTTGCGGGTAGTTTATACAAATACCCTTTCCCCGCATCGGACCAAACAATAATCCGATCCGTGGACAAAAAGTCTCCCGACATCCACCTCTCACCTCTGGGAGCCAAATATGAACACAATACACTAAAATCTCCTGTAAACAAAGAGTAATTACGCAAGCAATTTATAATCAGTACCCTACCTGCATCGTATATTTGCCAATACTTGGTACATACAATAAGCACTGTACGTTGGTTGTAGGAGCAGCACTGCATACACACGGCGTTGAGACATCGCGTTTGTTTACTTTCATTCTCATAAATAGGTTCGGAATGTTTATTTTCGTGTCCTATTAATGTCCAAACTTTGACCATTCCCGTCGTGGTTAGTGCGAGCACGACGTCATCTTTACGTTTGGCGGGTCGTAATACCTATAAAGCGATTCATTCAATCAATTACGAGATCAGCATTGGCATCGTAAGGTATAAGTTTTCGCTTTGTCTCATTACACAGCTGTAGAGTGCGGTAGTTTATTTCCCTAAGCCGCTGAGAAATTTAAAAACTTCTGGTGGTGGATTTAACTGCATGTGGAGGATGATTTATTACAATTCGTTAAGTGTTAAAAGTCCTTAAATAAGGTAAATAAGTAAATAATGGAATTCTGTTTCACGTGTTTTAGTATTCGAAGCTTGTCATAGAGTTGATTAAAATGCTTATTGTTTGCAGAAAAAATCAAAAATGTAGTGTTATTTTTAGGATATTTTGCATATTTATTGTTTACTTGATTTAATAATAAGATTTCCCAGACTAAATCTACAAAACAAATGATTCAAAATATTTATTTCTGATTTCCCAACACTGAAATACGTTTTCCTAAGTATTACAAAGAAACCATATTCAAAAGATTATTTTTCTAATCTACAGTAAAAAACTAAAAAAAAATGTTTCGATTATTGGTAACAAACAAGTTGTAAATTAGCGTAATTTGCATGATGAAAGCACATTTTTGGTAATGCAGATCAGTATTTGATTAGCAAAGTTTAAAATTATCGATCTCACGAGTAATCTAACTCAAAATAGACTAGAGCCTGCACATCTACACTACATCAGAAAGCTTTTAGTGAAAATTTGAAGTCTCTAGCTATTGTAATTGCTGAGATCTCAGTCGGACAGCCAGCCATAACAAATATAATTTTTTTTTCCAACCATGATCTGATATATCACAACCTGAGATGTGTCCATTCCTGACACAGCCAACAGTCCATAAGTCAAACACAGTCTCCGGCCCAAAGAAATAGGACAGATGATAACGACATGACCAAACTGTAAGCCCATTAAAGGTCGCTGTAGGGAAAAGGCCCACAAGCAAATAGAAACCAATAAGCAAAGGAGAGAAAAGACAGTGCTTGATCGCAAACACTAATCAAAACGAGATGAAGAGGGTAGGTCTAAATTTTCATCAAATCCGATTATAGTGACGTGCACTATGCCAAATCCGAGGCCACATCTAAGCAGTCCTCTAATAGTCTAAGTAACTTTTCTTGATATCAAATATGTTGCTTATAGGAGATACATACAATGAATTGTCTGAACGGAATAGAATAATCCGCATCTCTTCCATGTCTGTGAATGTCCCTGAAATATGATCTCACCAATAACTCATAACGTATTGTTGCAATAAGAAAACCTAACTGTTTAATAACGCTCATTTAACAAATGAGATATCACTGTTTTAACGATCTTGGAAATGATGGGATTTATTAGGATTCTTTCCGTCATAAATATTATCGCACATGGTTTAATTAAAACAATTACGCGATTTGCATTTATTGCCTATTAAGCAAAAGGTAAAGTCAGAGGGTATTATACAATACATTTATTTTCATTTAATACTCTTATGTAAAGGGTTCTATTATTATGTCGCTAATGTACGGCGGCTTCGATTTATTATTGTCCCATTATAGAACCGCCTGTTGATAATTGTTAAATTTATTGATATTTTGATTTCACGCCTAGTTGAATGGGAAACCTCCTTTGTACTTATTGTATTTGTAATCTATTATGTAATGGCTTTATTTATAATATTCAACCAGTGCAATAATTTCCTAATGCGCATCTAAGTTTTTGTTATACCTAATAGGTAATTGTCCTTCATGCAGTAATTTTTAACGGTGTTGAGGTCTTGATTATGTGATTATTGCCTTCATATAGTCAAATAATTAGAATTTCGATTGTTACTGTCCATATTTCAGCGATTATTTGCAAACGTCAACATTTTACCGTGTTTGAAAATGTCACAATTTGTTGCGTAATTTGATATTTATTCAGGAAATGATCATGCCGCGTGCTTAAAAATAGCCTGATTAAATTTTGTCGTTTTTCGTCAAATTGTTACGTGGAAAATTGACTCGACGTATTTCTAAGTAAAACGTCAAAATTTAATCGGCTATTTTTATCCACTTAGGATATTAATATGGAGTATGGATTATAAGTTTTAATGTAGCATTATTAAAGATTAAAGAAAATCCGGGCAATTAAATATAGCATTGCATTCGCTGACGTAGTTATGTATTGTCATTGAATAAATTAATTTTTTAATCAATGGTATTGATTAATTCCCTATACAGCATTGTATCTTCTATTTCATACCACCATTCCAGGGGAACTCCGTACCGCCTTTGGGAAATCCCGTTTTTTCCCGTGCCCCGTTCCAGTTAGCACTTCGGGGATTTTTTAGAGTACACATTAACGCCTTCATAGAAACCTACGTTCTAAATCCAAAGTCTCTTTTAGATTGTACCGGGTGACCCAATAAGACAGTTTCTCGGCCATATCTCGAGAACCGTTCGTCGTATGTCTTAGGGGTAAACAAAATTATTGGGTAAATCGGTCATAAAGAATGGCTGGAAAATATTTTCAAGTTCTAAAAATGACCACCAGAAGGCGTAACTGCAATCTTAAATTTTAAAATTGCATTTTCTTTAAATTTCGCATAATAAACTGAAAAAATTTGTTCACATTTTTAAAGAGAACCTATTTATCTATCATTTTCGTAAAAACAAAAACTCAGTTATTTCAAAAACAAAGATGGTGTGGGGCATTCAATTATTTTTGCAATAACCTGCTTTAACTTCAACCGTTTGACCGATTTTAACAAATTTGGTATGGTTGAAAAGAGTATTCCTTGGGAAATGAGAATCAACCAAAATGTAGTTAATTTAGTTGAATCCTTCTCCGCCAGGGGGCTAGTTTTGACACTATGACCCAAAATCCTAAAAAAAATCAAATAGAATGATATGACTTTTTCTTTATGAAAAAGTAGCCAAATAACATCCAAAGAGGCCAGTGAAAACCGTATTTCAAAATCTCGTTCCTAACCTCAAATATTCGAAATTGAGATTCATTTAATTGATAAAAATGCTTAAATTGTATCTTAAATTTACTTTTTACGTATTTCCGGTATTTGTCGATGGCGCGAAAGAAAAGCACCTTACACTTTTAGGTAGGCCCTGGAAAATTAAACAAATGAAACACGATACATTATAAAATAATAACAGCTGTAATTTGTAAATTATTCTGCTGTGTTTACATTCAGAAAGTGCAGTTTTTTGAATTTGTAATCATTTCCAAGAAGCCTTTAACATGCTGGCGATATATTTTGAGTATTTTTAAAATGCGACCATCGCTGCCCACATCTTCTGTTTGCGTTATCCGAATCGACCACGAACCATCGTCGCCAGCATATTAAATGCTTTTTGGTTAGACATCGGCATTTTAGAAAAGATTACAAATTCAAAAAACAGCACTTTCTGAATGTAAACACAGTAGAATAATTTACAAATTACGGCTGTGATTATTTTATAATGCATCGTGTTGCATTTGTTTAATTTTCCAAGACCTACCTAAAAGTGTAGGGTCCTTTTCCAAACAATCTTTCGCGCCATCGACAAATACCGGAAATACGTTAAATAAGGTACAATTTAAGCATTTTAATTAATTAATCTCATTTTCCGAATATTTGAGGTTAGGAACGAGATTTTGAAAAACGGTTTTCACTTGCCTCTTTGGGTGTTGTTTGGCTATTTTTTCATAAAGAAAAAGTCATATCATTCCATTTGATTTTTTTAGGATTTTGGATCATAGTGTCAAAACTAGCCTCCTAGCGGAGAAGGATTCAACTAAATTAACTATTCTTGTTGCCCAAGGAATGCTCTTTTCAACGATACCAAATTTGTTACAATCAGACAAACGGTTAAGAAGTTAAAGCATGTTATTGCAAAAACAATTGAACGCCCCATTCCATCTTTGTTTTTGAAATAACTGAGTTTTTGTTTTTACGAGAATGATAGATGGTGGTCATTTTTAGAACTTGAGAATATTTTCCAGCGATTCTTCATGACCCATTTACCCAATAATTTTTTTATCTCCCAAGTCATACGACGAACGGTTCTCGAGATATGGCCGAGGAACAGTCTTATTGGATCACCCGATACAACATAAAATCGTGAATTTGTATAAAGTAATTTGGGGGTTGCTATTGTATTTAAATGAGGGTATGAAATTCAAGGAACGTAAAAATAAGGACACATTTATTTCACAACGACGTAAGAAAAAAGTCTTATTTGGACACATGTGCGTATAAAAGCTGTTATCGAACAAATTAATTAGTCAGTCTCAATGAAACGACATCTGCATTAATGAGCACGACTGAGTTGGACATCGATTTGGCGACGTAGTTACTTGTTCATTATTCGTCGGTTATTAACGAGATGAGAAAATTAGAGTGGAGGTGTCACTCGCTTAAATAAGAGGTGCAAATTAACGACCTGACTGTTCGGGTGAATTTTTGATTGCGTGCGTAATTCATCACATGAAGAATTTTCTTTACACATTTTGTCCGTTAAGTTGATAGTTTTAGTCAGCATCTTTACGTCAGAGTTCCGGCAAGTGACCGTTTCTGTTTAAAAGTTTTTTTTTAAATACGAGTAATTGACAAGTTCGTCGGTCAGTTAAAAATATTAGAAAATGATCATGGAAAGCCATGCATGTGTGTGTAATTAAGTCATTGAACTATATACTGTGTAACTGGAACGGCATCGAGCGCCAAAATCGCGTGCCGCAATGATTTTAGGCAACCAGCATAACGTAGGTATTCTCATCCTTGTCTGGCACGTTGTTTTGTATTGCATATGCAGGACCGATCACACGTATTTAGTTAAAAATACAGATAAGTACATAAACTGGGAGGTTGGGGCCTTAGAAAGATAAAGATAAATGCTTGCCGATGCTTTTATAAGAGCCAATATCTATTTGTTAATGGAATATCTTAAAATATATACTTAATAATGTGGTAAACTGCGCCATTTCTCACTCACACACTCACATACTTGATTTTTGAAGTTACAAGTGTAATGTCAATTAATGTCATTCATGGTGGCTCGACACATTCCATTTACTTATTAACGTAAAATAAAGTTATAAACATTGGTTGTGTTCGTTTGTAACGTACACTTTACATAATATATTAGCAAGGAGGTACCTAATATATTACATTTGGCGTCGAGATAAAAGTAAATCTAAAAAAGCACTTTTTTTCAGAATAATTAATTGGCCCAGAGGGTTAATTGCGCTACTTATATAATCCAGTTTTCTTCCAAGATTAAACGTACGCCGAGCTATATGAGGTCAGAATTACACCTTCTACAAAAGGTCTCCCATATTTTCCGGAACTCACCTTTATAACTTGGCCCCAAAAAAACTCAAGACCTGCAAATCCTTCGGAATATTTCGTAGGGAAATAAAACAGTTTTTCAAATGTAACTGCTTCTACACCATTAAAGCATAGGTATGTGGATGGATATGGATGTAGAAAATGCAAACCGTGATATTTTCTACTCTAACTTTTGTGATATACCTGTGTGATATGTGTACCTATGCTTTTATATTTTATCTTTACACTTTGACGCCTCCTAATGTACGTTCATTGTAGGCCGAAGGAATCGGTAATAAATAAAAAAATCAATCCTTATAGGTATTTTTCGCCCCATTAGTGAGCAGTATCAATAATAATGTTGAGTAAAAAATTAAATAATAAAGAACTTCATATTCAAATTAGTAAGTCAAAACGGCTTTATAGGTTTTGGTGGTTTTAACGCTTTTCTTCACATGATGCTCTCTAGCGAGTGGAATCATTGGGCCGTATGAATAAAAGGAAGCAAATGCTTATACTTGCAAAATTCAAAGTAAATACTCGTAAGTGCTCCTTCGCACTGGGCGACTTAGCAGCGCTTCTAAGCAGAAGGACAGGACGCAGTGCACTGCTGCTAAACCATGCTAAACAGACCAGTATGAAGGGTCAGTTAGGAGTATTTACTTTGAATTTTGCAAGTATAAGCATTTGCTTACTTTTATTCATACGGCCCATTGAATTAGTATTAAACAGTGGGAAAGAAGAATTATCATTCATAAGGACAGTATAAATGAGTGTGAGGTACATTAGTAAAGAAATCTGAGCGGTGCAAAGCCGTCATGCGCAAAAATATTAAATGCACGCGTCGAGCTTGAAAAATGTTATCAAAACGTACCCATGAAATTGAATATTTGAATTTTTATTATAAAAATGATTGCACGTATATGCAACATAATTCATGACCATTCTTGCAAATCTCTTAATAACTTATTTTAGACAAAAATAAGGAAAATGTAAGACGTAGTATAAACCATCCCATAAGCCCACATGAGTGGAACAAGGTAAGGGATACCTACCTCTACCCATCTCTCTCTCTCACAAAAATTCGCCACGGCCCCTGGCAACGGCTTATTACGGGCGATGCCGTTCCAGTTACAGAGTATATAGTTCAATGAATTAAGTATATGATAATATAAAAAGCAAGTAGGTAGTTCTCTAGATGTTTTACATAATTCATGTGTAAATTATTTACAGATATTTACCAATTCCAAACATGACATAATTACATTTTAACTCGTTTCATTACCTCAAGAGAACTAGAGCTCCACCCATGGAAGATGCGATAAGTACCCTTTCTCTCTCGAATTGCAAGGCGGTCGAGGCTAATCGGCGATTCACACAGAAAAAGCTTTCTACATGCAAAAGGCAGCACATGGAATGTGCGGAAGGCGCCCTTCCTCTCTCGGATGTGCAAGGCAGTGAAGGCTAATCGGTGGTTCACACGGAAAAAGCGTTCGGTACAAAACAGGCGATCCATGTGCGGTTTATACAGAAAAAGCGTTCGATACGAAAAGGCGGCCCATGGAAGATGCGAGAGGTGACCCTTTCCCTCTCAAGCGTATAGTGTAAGATGATAGTGTAAGGTGGTTGATACAAAAAGGGCAAAATGTGGCCCTGTATATGACGTTCCTCTCTAAGACGTTCAAGTTTAGAACTTTTATTAAATATAATTTATATAATATTTTGTATATAATAATAATAATGGATTTTATTGATGGTTCCTACACCATAACCAATAGGTTCAGGGTCAGATAAACCAGTAGGTTACCTGTTGTGTAGATAAGACACCCTGTAGATGGTATAATTTTAATTTTTGAGTGCAAATCTGGTGGGTTATTTACGAATGTTTGCAAAGGTGGTTTATTTTACTCAAATTTGTATTTCCGTATTTGTTTTTCCTTATAGAAATGTTGATAGTTTTTGTTTACGTTTTAATTTGATCGCTTTTGTGCTTTATTCACTTTACATAAGGTGTATGAAGTGAGACACTCCTGGTCGATATTGCGTGATTTATAAAAGGTTACCTATATCTGGTCGTTTCCGATAAGAAGTTTTATTGTTACGCGAAATTTAATGAACGCACGTGTTCTTTCACCGAAAAGGAGATGCAGATGTTATAAAAAATTGCGCGTTACATGTGGAGAAATGGGGACGTTTTGGCGCGTTCGGTTGTGATTGACCAGTTATTTAAAATTTGTTGAAGAAGTTTGTTTTATGGTGGAAGTGGTGTTTCCTTAAATACTGTAAACAACGAGAAGACGAGGCTGCTCATTGTCCATCAATTAATTGTGTATTTATTCGAATCCAAAGTGCAACTCAGCTAGGAGTTTTCATGTCAGATTTTTCTATTCGTGCCCAAGGTTTCAGTTGTGATTTAAAATTTGTGTAATAAATTCTTTGGAATTTTCGGAGAAAAATTTTAAGTCAATATTCATTGTCTTTATAGCAGAGGCCGGAAATGTATCAGTGGAGCAAGGAGTAGAGATTATAAAATTCTACGTTTCAGTTTTGATTTGTAAGATTTGTTAAAGAAATCAAAATTTTCCTCTGACCTAGCCAACTCTTACAGACCAATCAGTCAAAATGGCACCATGCACAAACCTGATGCCATTCAACACTACATTCAATGGAAGCATGAAGCAAAGTGCCTGGGACTGACACACGACTTCAAATTAACGTGTAACGATCACCTGAATAGAACCACCACCAAATGGTAGGCATATAATAGGCAGCATGTGAAACTACAGCATGAACTAGTGACACATTTAGGTCACATCTACAGATAGCAAAAAGTCATATGCTAGATGCACAACTAAAATCCAGGAACGAGGCTACTGTAACAACATTCCAACTGACAGTCAGACAGTACTAAAGGCGCTAGACACAACAGTAGATCGTTAAAACTTGTCAAATAATGCATCCAACCCTCGGTCCACCTATTACAAAGCCTGAGCCAGTACAACAGCGTCAAGTTATGATGGATCCCAAAGGAAAAATTGGAACCCACAGTTGCCTTTTGAGCCTCGCACCAAGCATAGGTATACAACAATACCTGACCTGTCCAGCTTCATTTCTGTTCCAGTGATTTCAGTAGAGTTTAGATATAGGTACACAATTTGCAGTGGTAAATTCTACGAACCCAATTAATCTCATAATCCCCTAATTTAGCTGATGACAATTGAGTACAAATACAATTGGAGCACATTCAATAGATGGCGCATAGTTAGCGTGCGTGATAAAGTTACTAAATCTAGTGACTTTAGTGCGCGTGCGCAATGATAACAGTTGAATTGTGATTGACTGCTTATTCTGCTTTAAGTATAATTACAATTCATTATTACAATGAATTATGCACATACAAGTCGAACATAAATGGTGTGTGACAAATTGTGAAAACGTTTCCAAAAAATGGAGCCCGAAGTTTTTAAGAATTGGTTTAAGAATATAAATTACTGACCGTGGAAGAAATTTACAGACAGTTTTTGGTGTGTGAATTTTTTTGACTGGGCTTTAAAAGCAGGAACACGATGAGGTTTAAAGCATTTGGCAGTTCCCACATTATATTTAGCAAGTAAGAGTAATTGGGTTGTAATAATTTGCTACATATTTGGTTTTTAGAACGATCTCGAGAGCATTATACAGTAGAATTCCATGAAGTTGGTCTTGTATCTTGTATAATCATATTAAATTAAATATAACTCCTTGGATTAATTGGAGTTGTTACTTATAAAACAAGTGCTCTGTACTCTTTGAAGCCCCTGACTGCTTACTTAAACTGACTTTATCTGGGCCCCTAACAAACATTGGACTTCACTGGCTGGATTCATTACGTTTTCGATTTCAGTTAGTCAAATCCAATGTTATTGTTACAGATCCAGAGAAATTCAGTATAGTGGCGACGTAGCCTTGCATAGATACATTTTAACATTTAAATTTCGCGCCATTCACGCAAAAGCTGCTGAGAACATACATGAGATGACATGTCATTTTTACATTATATTCCAGCTTCCATTCTAAGATTGTTGTTCTATGACTCTAACTTCCTACAGAAATATAATGATTGCAGTACCTATTTTTTAAGATTAAAAGCAGCCAATTACAAAAATGCATTCAGTATTACCTTTAATTTTCACACTTAGCACATAAACAACTTACATGAAGAGCACTTATCCAGTCTGGATTAACTTTGGAAGATAGCGCAAATAATATTTCAAGACTAAAAGGATCCATTATTAACACTTCCGGGTAATAACCATTACAAAAAAGTCTAACGTCCTCACAATTACACATATGGTACGCCTACAAAAGATCGGTGAGCAATTAACATATTTATGTTGTTCCGAACACTTACTTGCATATTTGTATGGACCTGCGGTAACTTTACTACTTCCCTACATTTTCCGTCGACCAAATCCCAAGTGCACATTTCACCGGCTTCCGAACTAGACACTATGTAATTGTTATCTTGAATGATCGACGCTTTGGAGATACACAGCACGGGCGCCGTATGACCGACAAGCAGACAGCGCGGGGTCATTTTTATAGAATCGGGATCCACCTGCCTACAATCAGTCTTCAAACAACGAGCTTGTTAAAACATCGCACACTTGCCATAAACATATTTGACCGTCATAACAGCCGGTCGCTAAAGTCTTTTGATCCTTTGATAAGTAAATGCATGATATACAATGCGTCGGTGCATATTTCCCCCATAGGACAACCGGCACTACCAAACTTGTTCCCGGCATTTTAGCACTGAAAAACATAATACAATATTAACCGATTTACGTGCTAACATATGCATAATCTTTAAGTGTTTCGTAAATTCACCAATTCACATTCAAAAGATATGTTAAAGACAATAAGGTCAATTACTTTAAATTAGTGTCAATTACTTTGTGAAAGGACGTTATGCTAGTACCCAAAAAAATTACTTTACAAAAAAGTGTGGAAATGACGATTATAAACACATGTTCAGTTTTTAAAAATCATTAAAATCTAATTAGATCTATACCTACATACAAAGTTACGTTAATCGCCTGTGATATGAATACAGAAAAGTCAATTTTCGACAACACTTAATGATATAGCTCAAACTGTTCTCATTTACCTTAATTTTATCTTTAATGTTTTAACTGTTAGGTTAGATAAGCTTATTAACTGATTTTAATGTTTTTAGAAGGAACGAAATTGCCAATCGCCATTTTCGTAGTACATCTACATCAGCTGTTTGCTAACAGTGATGTACGAATGTTGAATCGGGAACCTTCGTTGACTGTTCGAGTCTTGATGGATCGAAAGTGTTCTAATAGCAGAGTTCTAAAATATTGCTATACGTGGGCTGCTTGAAAAGTATCGATGCCTTCTGACAAACAAATTATGAAATGAATCAACAAAGTCGTGGAATACCTATCAGCATTTATCGCTGTACAATTATCTAACTATACCCTTGCTAGTCCAGTAAATCTAAAAAAACTAGTGATCAATTTTTTCGGGTATCCCCACCATGGTAATGATTTTATACACTAAATTTGTGACGACGCGCCCCTACGGATAAGCAACACACCTTACAGGGAAAGTAAAATCAAGAGACCGTCGAAACCGACTTTACTTGTGAAAAATTATTACAGGCAACCTGGATAGCGACCACCGACCATTTGTCGACCAGCCTTGTTGAAAAGCAAGTGTCTGCACACCAGTTTTTTGTGCGTTTGTAGTAGTCTATGTGTAAGTCTAACGTAGACTTAATTTTTAAATCTCATGTCTTAAATTTATTACAATGTATGATGATCCATTTAATCTTGTATTCGGGATGTAGAATAAATAATAAGAATCTAATTTGTCTTTTCCAAATTTAATTCAAATTCTTCGTTTTTACTGTTAGATGAGTCATATGGTTATGTCGGCAAATTTTGTGTTTACGTTTATGAGTGTGCTGTTGCGCTGCATGTTTTGATTAATCACTTATTCTATCACAGTTCGATTCTACGCTGTGTGTTTCTTTTTCGTCATCTCGTGCCCGCTGGCGGACGATGGGTGCGTAAGCATTTCGAAAAAGGGGACCCTCTAATTAACTTTTCTTTTGTTTAGTATGCAGGTTTGTATGTATGATGATTGATGATATACTTTAGCTTGAATACTGCTGATATATACACTTGTACTTTTTTTGGGATTTAATATAATAGTACACGATGCCGGAACAGAATCATTCTCATTTTGATGTTAATTAGGTACATATGTACAATTTATCATCTCATGAATTTTGTTGTCTAAATTGACTCGTAGATGCATTTGGTGTGCTTTTTGTAGCAAAATGCTTTCAATTTTATAACTATGACGTCACATGTTTTCATTAATTTGTTTAACCATATTGCATCTTGATTACCTGATTTTTATTGTACGTTTTAAGATTCATTGTTGGTGTTGCCGTAGTTGATTTATTTCTTGTAGTTGTGCGTGTTATGCCAGGTTTTTTTCTTGTTGGTTTTTTCCCCTGGTTTTTCAGTTTGGATTTGTTCCGTGAAACCAACTCGTACATAATACATTTAATTCTTCTTAGCATTTTAGGACGCAACAAAATCTTTTATTCAATGTCCTTTCCGGTTGCGTCTTACGTCTCAACACATAAAAAAGAACCACCATAATAGGTATGTCGCAGCGAAGGAGCCCCATTCGTACCACCCGGGCCGAACATTTGGAAACGGCAGACGCGAAAAATGACCCTTCTCCACAACTATTTCGGAGTGCCAACTCAGTTTAATCGCAATTGAATATCAGGGCACCACCAAAATGAGACTAAATCAATAAAAATAAACGAGAGGCCATAAAATAAATATGAATCAAAAGTACTTATGGCACCCTATGAAACTAACATGGAAAATAACGGAACCAAGCCCAAACAGGATAAGTAACTAATAGCATTGAAGTTATAAATTCAATGCTAATAGTTATTTACCGCGCTCTGGGAGTCGCTAACTATTTTACTAGCTCGAGGGTTTTCGCAGATATAGTCAAGTGCTAAATTAATGGCCGCTAGCTAATTCCGCCTGGTAGGTAGTGGCATATGTTGGGAAGCTCAGCGACCCTAATTTCGGAGGTATGCAATATGCATGCCTGAGTCTACAACCATGGCCGCTCTAGTGCCTTCCATCGTTTTCGAACCGTCAACGTAAATTCGTTGTGTGCTATTAATACCGCTTTCTACCCACTGACACCTGTGAGCAGGGTGGACTTTGTCTTTTGGACTGGGGGCTCTCTCAACGTTACCCTCCGACAACGCGGTGTGTACGTCATAGATTCTTTTAGCTTCAAGGAAAAGTAGTGGAATGTTGGAAAGTACCTTTAAGCTCCTCGTAGGAGTAGTGTTATATGCACCTAATATCCTTTAGTAAGAATGGCCTTTGTATATTCTCGGAAATGCGCTTGACTCGAGACTTCTACTGCCCCATATCTCCGCTCCATATAAAATTGCAGGTCGGAGGGCCTGGAGGTACATAGTACCAATGGTATTTTGGGACGATTTTCACCAGCAATATGAAACAAGTCATAGTCACACAAATTGCGCGTTTTGGGAATGTGAACCACGCACATCTCATAGATTGATGTGTTTTTTTTAAAATCGAACATATAGTAGGGGAGCTAGCACGAAATCCACTGAACGAGAATGATCAAAATTTTAACCGATGGAGTTCCATTTTGCCCTATCAGAGTATGCTAAAATCGATCGTCTGCCGCCTCAGGTCATATGACTTAAGGCGCTGCGGGTACTTCTTGCGGTACCAATTCTGAAAGGTTGTTTTTCGAAAAATAAGTTATACACCAAATGAAAACGTTGATAATAGCTCTTAAAAAAATATTTTAAAAAATCGCGCGCATTTGATAACTCCGTAAAAAAACAATTCTTAGTCGGTTTTTCACGAACTTTCTACGGATATAACTAGGTTACGGTTGGACGAGTGAAGCTGATTTTTTTTACAGACTAATGAGAGGTACAGCCAATGACTATATGAGAGTGTTTCTTTTTTAAATTTTTTCTCTAATTATAAGATATCTTATAATGTTAAGATAATAAGATAATCTTGTAATTAGAGAAAAAATTTAAAAACGAAACACCGTTAAGTCATTAGTAGTACTTATCATCAGTCTGTAAAAAAAATCAGCTTCACTCGTCCAACCGTAACCTAGTTATATCCGTAGAAAGTTCGTGAAAAACCGACTAAGAATTGTTTTTTTACGGAGTTATCAAATGCGCGCGATTTTTTAAAATATTTTTTTAAGAGCTATTATCAACGTTTTCATTTGGTGTATAACTTATTTTTTTGAAAAACAACCTTTCAGAATTGGTACCGCAAGAAGTACCCGAAGCGCCTTAAGTCGTATGACCTGAGGCGGCAGACGATCGATTTTAGCATACTCTGATAGGGCAAAATGGAACACCATCGGTTAAAATTTTGATCATTCTCGTTCAGTGGATTTCGTGTTAGCTCCCCTACTAATAGGGAAATTACATTGCATGCAAGCTCCTATGTTCGCATTTTAAAAAAACTCACTGTACATATTTATTCCGCACGCTAATGTAAATACCCGCAGATAGATAAACGGAAGATATCGTCCGGTATAAGTTATTTTGCAGGTACGAATCTAGTACTTTATCCGAAGATGGAAATACCGGCCCTTAATAATACGTCATTATAAAAGTGAATGTTACAATCCAAGTGGTTTGGTATTGGTGTCAAAGTTGTAGCTATAATAGTCAATTAATTGTGCCCACCGTGAAAGACTAGCGGAGGCAAACACCTTCCCGTGGTAAAGCTGAATTTATAGTTCCGTACCCGCAACACCGTACCGTAACGTTTTTGCGCGTGAACATTTATAATTCGCGTTATCGTTGCGTTAGTGCTTGTTCACAATGGACATAAGCGTTACAAAAACATAACAGATACATAAAACATAATATTGACATAAGACATAATTTTACGCAGGTGGAAAAAGTGTTCACAGTGACCGTAAGATTATAATTATTATCTGCGTAGGCGCAAATCCAAAATTTAAACTCGGCAAAACGTCAAGAACATAGCAATATTATTTGTGGTGTATATGTGTGTGTCACTGAGATGGATGGAAATTTCAACAGTTTTATTGCTTTTACTGTTAAGAAGACAGAGAGACAAAGTTGTTACAAAACAAAAACGGCGTTGGTGGGTCAGACCTATAAATCGAGACCGAGAGAAAAGGGGAGAATTTAAGCGTGTCTAGAAATGAAGCTGCATGATGAAGAATGGTTTTTTTCATACACCAGGATTATTCGATCACCTTAATAGGTCTTTTGTCCCCTTTATTAAACAATTAGGGTTTTAATCGCACCAAACTAATCAGTAATTCGACGTCTATATGTTGTCCATGCCGTGTTGGATATAATCAAAGAACAACACACGAAGGACCAAACAACACCAAACTATGAAATAATGCGCCAAAAACTATGTACCAATTTAAAAATAACCAGATTATGTTGGCAGAAGAGATGTCATCGACGTTAGACGTAGTAACTGAAATGTCAAACCAACAGCGCAGTGCTGCATCTTTGTACCCAACAGAAATACACCTAATTCCACTAGATTTTTCATAAAACCTACGTAAAGTTGAAACCGACCCAACTTTATGTATTTTTTATGTACCCTTTCGGTAGGACATAAAACATACGCAAACATTTACAAAAAAATAAAAATTATGTAATCATTGTGAACACCTACGTTGGTTTGCTACTATTCAACATTATGAATTATGCATCTGTTATGTTTTTGTTACGCTTATGTCCATTGTGAACAAGCACTTAGAACGGTTACGGTACGTAGGAAATGCCCAAATCTTATTTCTTACGGTAAATCGTGCTAACGCGCTTGTGTTCGGTAGTATTCGGATAATTCAAACAGTTGAGTTTATTCTGACGTTCGTTTCGTTTATTTACAATAATTATTGACACTTTTTTGGTTATTATTATTTTGAAATACACGTTACTCTTACTGACAGATGACATACAATGACAGAATTCGTTTCGCACTAATGCGCATGCTCATCTCTTACCACTACGGTAACTATAAATCGTATAATTTTCGTTAACGTAAGATTTTACGGTTCCGTTCTTACGTTCTTACGGATACGGAACTATAAATCCGGCTTAACTTCGAGCTTAACGTATAAGCCGACTTTGAACTGGCTATGAAACCACGCTAGGCGCTTAGGGTACAGTTAGCATCCCACT